CTCCGATGGCTGTTTTTTCTCGAACTCAAAGTGAAGTGGAGCAATTTCTTGGACGGCATTCAGCTAAAGTTAGTCACTGGTCTAATGGAATGTTCCTCTGGACGAAAAATGTCTCAATTCTTATCATATACAAAAAAAAAAAAAAAAAAATTGTTTTTGTTGAATCCTAGAGATTCTTCTTTCTCTGCTTCCCTTTGTGCCTTTTAGCGTGGTGGTACCTCGACCGAATTGCTGATATTTCGGTTCTGAGTTAGAGCCTTCATATTCCTTATCTGCAAATCTCTTTTTTCACCCATCTGGGAGATGTGTTCCATCCACGACAATCTAGGTCTTCCTCTTGGGCGCTTAATGAAGGTCTTGTCTTAATGAATTTTCGTGAGTCTCGGTCTTCATTTATTCGGCATAAATATCCAAACCATCTCAATATCCTCTTCTCCATAGAATCCTGTAGTGGGGCAGTGCAGTCTTCTTGCAATCGCTTATCTTTTCATTTCTGATCCGGTCTCTCCTGGTTCGGCCGGCTACCTTTCGAAGATAATTCATTTCACTAGCAGTCACTATGCTTAGGTTTTTGTTTAAATGGACCTTGCTTTCACTCCAATACATAAGGTTAGGTAGATGTACCGCTTTAGATATACGGATTTTTACTTTTTTTCTCTACCTCTCTTTTTCCCAATGACTGTATTGCATAGAGTGTAGTACATCATTGATTTTTTAATACGATTAGCAATTTCATGGCCCTCCCTTTCATTCCTGTTTATTACTGCACCTAGATATGTGTAGTCCACCACCATTTTCATCACCTCCCCTTTGCAATGAATTTCAACAACCTCCGGATCCCGTCCGATATGCATTACTTTTTCTCTTTCCAACATTAATTGCCATACCTTTCCTCTCAATCTAATTTAGCCTACCATTCCATCACCGCTTGCTGTAGATTTTCCTTTGAGTCCGATATGAAAACGATGTCGTCTGCAAAGACCATTACTTCCGTCAAAATCGGCCTCATGTTCCTCATATACATATATATATATATATATATATATATATATATATATATATTATCTATCATTATAAACATATCTATATATAATGAACAATAGGGGACTATATATGTCCCCTTGCGTCCTGGTCTCAAATCAATCAGAATCAAATCAGAAAGTCCATAAAACGGGGGGCAATTGAATTGTAGGAAATCAGGATTCTGTAAGTAGGATGGTTTATAATTTTGAAATTTAAAAGATTTTTTAGGTGTAGGTTAAATTTGGTTTTTATATTCTGTACATAAATTTCCGAACTAGCAATGGGCAACTCTCTCGCTCCAGACATATCCAACATTGTTCTTAACGACCTTCTAGAATCCATCCCTCTGCATCCAGACGTTATCATCTTCATCCGAAAATACATAGACGTCTTCCTTCTAATCCTCAGTCCAGATAAAATTCCCGATATCGTATCAGCCTTTAATTCTTACCTCCGCCTCAGTTTTACAGTAGAACGCGAATTAAATAATTCTCTCTCTTTTCTAGAACTTCTCATCATAAGGAATCCTAACTACACCATATCCACAGACTAGTAGACTAAACCAACTTACACAAGCAGACTTTTGAATTTCTATTGTAAACATCCTTACCACCAAAGTCTCTCCGTCTCTGATCCCCAATTTCATGTGACCAATACCTAACGTATAAAACAGATCCTGTCAAACAATAATTTTCCTCTCCATGTCATCAACAAACTTATAAATGACCGCAATAATCGCTCTTCCTTAATCTCGACTTCCACTATTTTTCCACAACCCATTCCATCCTCAATATACAGATCTCTAATTGCTTTTCATCTTATATTGGCGAAACCAAAAATCTTCTAAAAGACCTCATCACACAACATAAATATTCAATATCCTCTCGTAATTTTACCGCTTCAAATCATCCGAACATTCTCTCTCCATAAACCATACATTTGATTTCGACAAAACTTTCATCCTTGACTCCGTCCCTAACCATCACCTAACAAACGACTCATATATAAAATCCTCCACATCCAGCTTCAACCTAATACAGTGAATATAAAACCAGAAAAACAAAACTTATCCTTAGCCTATTTCCAAATTCTGAATTTATTAAAACATTCATAGCAATCTCCTTTTCCCTTTTCGCTGTCAACTTCCCTTTTTTTTCTATTTTATTTTATTATACTATATTTACGCATATTTTATACTAAAGTTCATTATACTTCCTCTTTATTTTTAATTCTTTTTCGCTTTCTTCTTCTTCGTCATTACTCTTTCCACATAAATCATTAATACTCTATTGTCTTATAAATAGACTTTCTCTTTTCCGTTCAACCTTCAGTTTTCTTTTTCTTTAATCTCATAAAAGAAATTTTTTCTATATATTGATACATTTGCTCATATATTTGTTAATATCATTTTTACTTTTTATTCTCTTATACGTTGTCAATAATTTTGATAGATTTTACAAAATCTTAATTTCCTGTTTATATCTATTATTTCCTTATATAACTTCACATTCTTTTCTCTGTTTTAAACTTTATTCTAAGATTTATTCATTATATAAATTCATATTTCTTTTCTCTGTTTTACACTTTATTCTAAGATTGCCATTTTCATTTCTTACGTTACCTTATTTTTTTATTAAAGCTTATTTCATTGATCCGTACTTTGTCATCGTTATTATTATTTATTTTTTAGTTGTCTGTTACTGTTATCATTCTACCTACATTGTTTTACTTTAATGTTCATTCTATCTACTTCATTTTACGATTATTTTTTTCAACCTAAAGTTTTAATCTATACCTTTCACCTTTTTTTATATTAATTCTGTATCATTTAATGTTTATAGTTTCTTATACCCACTAACGGATCCAGGAATTAATTTTGGGGGCTTGAGCCCGAAATTTTTGTTTTCATAAAAATAATGATGATTCCTTTGCAATAAAAGAAAGAAACTAATTACCTATATGAAATGGTGTTTAAGTAATACCTAAAGTCCTTTTAAATATAATTACAGGAACATTAATGCTTTAAGACATATTTTTTACCATAAAAAATGGCTATATATTTTTTGAGGGAAGGTGGAACTACAGCCCCAAAGTCCCATGTCCCTGACCTGGCACCTATAGAATTTCGAGTTGAAACCTATGCCAATATTTAGTACCTAATTTGTACCCCAAAAATTAGAATTAGTACCCCTCAGGGACCGGAGATATAAAGCTCGTAAAAGTGCCGGGCCAGGGACATGGTCAAATGACATATCGATTTTCGAGTTGAAACTTATACCAATATTTAGTACCTAATTTGTACACCAAAAATTAGAATTAGTACTTATCAGGAACCCGAGATATAAAGCTCGAAAGAGTGCCGAGACCGGAAGTTCCATGTCCCTGGCCGACACCAATGGATTTTCGAGTTGAAACTTATGCCAATATTTATTACCTAATTTGTACAACAAAAATTATAATTAGTACACATCAGGTACCGGAGATATAAAGCTTGCAAAAGTGCCGGGACCGGAAGTTCCATGTCCCTGTCCTTGCACCTATGGAATTTCGAGTTGAAACTTATACCAATATTTAGTACCTAATTTTTACCCCAAAAATTATAATTACTACCCATCAGGGACCGGAGATATAAACCTTGATAGGTATGCCACGTAGTGATTCGTGGCCGGACTCGAATGGAATTTCGAGTTGAAACCGATGCCAATATTTAGTACCCTAAGAGGTACTAATTTGTACCCTAAAAATTATAATTAGTACCCGTCAGGGGCATGATGGCCCAGCACCTATGGAATTTCGAGTTGAAACCTATGCCAATTTATTATATATAATTAGGACCTATGTGCCAATATATTTAGTACCTAATGTGTACTAATTTGTACCCTAAAAATTATAATCCGAAAAATCTACATATATATGGCTTTAGAACATTACAGCAGTGAATAATATTTTTAATTTTCCTCTGGGAAATAACATTATCAACTTACAATTAGTGTGACAACTTCTGACCTATCTTTACTAGGCAATGAAAACCTCCATTTTTAGTAAACTTTATAATAGAAAATATGAGTTTAATATTTAATAGTCCTACAATCCATTATCATTTACTTCTTAAATATTCAGATGTATTTTCAAATCTCTCTAAGCATATATAGATCAGAGTCCGGAGTTTTTATTTTACAAAAACATATGGAGTTACGAGGTTTACGTATTCTACCTCGATATAATAACTAGGGTCTGTGTTATTTCAATGGTATTAATGATAATGTTTTAGCTTCAGCTTCATTAAAAGTGCACTATAAACAATTTATAATAGCCCAACATTGCTAGAAATTTATTTATATTCAATGTAGAGCAATAAATGGAAGTTGTGTAATACTCGCACCAGATTTTTAGTTTTATATGTTTTTAACAAATAACTTGATAAATTATTAAATACGTATTTGCCATAAATGTAGAGATGAGATAATATATATTTCTACACAAATTCATAATACAGAGTAACTTTCCAAAAATTCAAATACACTGCTTCTGAAATGTCCATCATGCCTCCTCCAAGGCAATCTCTTTCACCACCCCTGCTGTTTTAGATATATAAACTATGTACTTGATGGAAAAACCTAAAGAAATAAGGGAATCGCCTTCAAAATAAAGTACCACCACAATGTCACAGATAGTAAGCTGTTGTTTCATAATTCATAAACGTATTTATTATTAAGGTTATATTAATAGAAAACATGTATCCCTTGTAAATACAATAAAAAAATTGCTCATTAAATTCTACTAACATATCTATAAATAATACTTACAATAACATAAAATAGGCAATAAACTTTACATTGAAGATATGTTTAATTGCATTCATACATAACATATATATACTTGTATTTATAAGTAAAAAATAATAAATGTTTAAAAAATCCTGAACATTAAATTTAATTACATCACACTAGTCTATGAAAAATTGTATTCCAAAATAATTAAATTGTATATATCAAAATTTGACAAGCAGTTTTAGTCATAGGGGAGATGATAGTTTTTTTCTCTTTTGTATCATCATGAACTTCCCAGGTTTCATTTATTCTTCTTACTGTAGCTGTGTAATGTCCTACATTGTTGACACTTGTTCGTCGTCCACTAAATCCAATAAACCCTCTCAACTTGTACTGAATTCCAGAAATATTCATAAAATGAGGTAATTCACATCACTAGCGGATCAAGGATTTAATTTTGGGGGGCTTCAGCTTTTGTTTTCATAAATTTTCATAAAAATAATTTGAAAAAAAAGAAAGAAATTAACTACCTATGAGAAATGGTGATTAAGTGGTTCCTGAAGTCCTATTAAATGTAATTAAACGAACAAGGATGCTTTAAAAGATAGTTTTTAATACTTTTTTTCTGTAAAACTTGGTTATATTTTACCATTTTGGGGGAGGGGGGCTTCAGCGCGAAAGCCTCCCCGTAGATCCGCCTGTGATTCACATGGTCTTATCTGAAAAAAGAAAATAAATTAAGCCACTAGAGTAACAAAATAGAATGTTGTCTTAAAATTTTTATCCCAAAAATAAAAAAACAAAAAGGACTTGTGTCTAAAATCATAGAAAACGTTTTTAATCATGCACAATTAATTAATAAATGTACAACAATATCATTAGTAATTAACCAAATAAAGCTACACATACTTCTATATCATTAAGCACGTCCATATTTAGCACTTCTTCATCTGCCGTGGTATCTTCTGGGGTTCGATGGAGAAGATTAATAATTTTTATCATTAACCACATCGCAGAGGGTATCCTTGTAGTTGTATTTTCTCATTTGCTGCAATAAGAGTTGTCACAGGTTACTGTCTGACTTCTCAGACTCTCTTTTATTGTATTTGCAAGATTTTGAAATCTTTATATCTCCGGTCTCTGACGGGTACTAATTATAATTTTTGGGGTACAAATTAGTACCAATTAGGTACTAAATATAGGCATAGGTTTCAACTCGAAATTCCATTGGTGTCGAGCCAAGGACATGGAACTTCCGGTTCCAGCACTCTTTCGAGTTCTATATCTCCAGTTCCTGATGGGTACTAATTATAATTTTTGTAATACAAATTAGTACCAATTAGGTACTAAATATTGGCATAGGTTTCAACTCGAAAATCGGTATGTCATTTGATGTCCCTGGCTCGGGACTTTTGCGAGCATTATATCTCCGGTCCCTGAAGGGTACTACTTATAATTGTTGGGATACAAATTAGTACCAATTAGGTACCAAATATTGGCATATGTTTCAACTCGAAATTCCATTCATCCATGAATCACCACGTGACGTACCTAACAAGCTTTATATCTCCGGTCCCTGAAGGGTACTAATTATAATTTTTGGGATGCAAATAAGTACCAATTAGGTACTAAATATTGGCATAGGTTTCAACACGAAATTCCATTCGAGTCCGGCTACGAAGCACCACGTGGCGTACCTAACAAGCTTTCTATATCCCGACCCTGATGTTTACTAATTATAATTTTTGGGGTACAAATTAGTACATATTAGGTACCAAATATTGGCATATGTTTCAACTCGAAATTCCATTCATCCATGAATCACCACGTGACGTACCTAACAAGCTTTATATCTCCGGTTCCTGAGGGGTAATAATTCTAATTTTTGAGGTACAAATTAGGTACTAAATATTGGCATAAGTTTCAACTCGAAATTCCATAGGTGCCAGCCAGGGACATGGAACTTCCGGTCTCGGCACTTTTGCGAGCTTTATATCTCCGGTTCCTGAGAGGTACTAATTCTAATTTTTGAGGTACAAATTAGGTACTAAATATTGGCATAGGTTTCAACTCAAAATTCCATAGGTGCCAGCTAGGGACATGGAACTTCCTGTCACGGTACTCTTGCGAGCTTTATATCTTCGGTTCCTGACGGGTACTAACTATAATTTTTGTGGTAAAAATTAGTACCAATTAGGTACTAAATATTGGCAAAGGTTTCAACTCGAAATTCTATTCGAGTCCGGCCAAGAACCACCACGTTGCGTACCTAACAAGCTTTATATCTCCGGTCCCTGGCGGGTACTAATTATAATTTTTGGGATACAAATTAGTACCAATTAGGTACTAAATATTGGTATAGGTTTCATCACGAAATTCCATAGGTACTGGCCAGGGACATGGAACTTCCGGTCCCGGCATTCTTGCGAGCTTTATATCTCCGTTCCCTGATGGGTACCAATTATAATTTTTGGGGTAAAAATTATAAAAAATTAGGTACTAAATATTGGCATAAGTTTCTACTCGAAAATCGATATGTCATTCGACCATGTCCCTGGCCCGTCACTTATACGAGCTTTATATCTCCGGTCCATGAGGGGTACTAATTCTAATTTTTGAGGTACAAATTAGGTACTAAATATTGGCATAGGTTTCAACTCGAAATTTCATAGGTGCCGGACCAGGCACATGGACCTTCCGGTCCGGACCTTGTTATCTGGTTCTTTCCTCGGCCCTGATAAAGGCCTGAACTTCGGAATGAAACGTTGGTGAATGAAAAAATAAATACAATTATTTGTTTTTACTGATCACCCCAATCGTAGCACTTTCTCTTCAATTAACCTTATAATAGTACAATAATAAAATAGGCGTTGATTATCTAAAAGTTGTAGGTCTTACTAACAACTAACCATAACAACAGTTCATCCTAATTTTTTACTTGATTTTAAAATTAAAATCAAAATGTAAACATATTGATTTTTTTCAGGGAAGTGTACTAGGATTTTATCTTAGAACAAGAAAAAAAAAATTTAAAAAGGAAATGGCAGATCCTTTGAAAGAAATTCCAGCTGAAGACATTCCTGATATGTTGTTCAGATTGAGAAATGATTTTCCGTCGGCTATTCATGTAGGTTTTACCAAAAGTTTCGAAATATTTACTTTTGTTAGCACAGAATGTGAAATTTGTCAAGTGTTACTAATTTTGTTTCCTAATTATATAATACAATTTTTGAAGGCTCACGAATATCTGCAGACTATTATGAAGTGGAAGAGAAAGAATCCTGACCTTCAGATGGCAATTTTGGCTCCAGAAGGAGATTATAAACTTGGAATAATCTTTTTCACCTTAATTGGAGTAAGTGTAGAACATACTACGTATGAATTTCAAATGATTGTTTGATTATATATCAGTAGTTCTTCTTTAACACAAATTGGATGGAGGACAGAGTCTTCTACTTTGTGGTAGAATTCCGTTTGAGATGAACAAATTCGACCTATCCGGTTGTCTGAAAAATTATACATATTTTGATAATATAAAAGCCAGGCTCGGCATGAGGGAGTCAACTGGGGTTGCAGCTCCCCTATGGGTTCCAAATTTTGGCCTTATAGTATAGATAACATTGCATGTATTATATATAATAAATATGTAATGTTTTTTCATATTTTTGTTACATACTTTATAAAAAAGGCTTTGCTCAAATTTTCGTGATAAATTTAATAATTGATGGTGCCCATAAAAATTAAATCTGTTACCTTTGGTTTCACTCCAAAACAAAGATATTGATATTTTTTAAAGTTCAAAGCTAGGTTTGAAGTGTAAAAAAAATTAATAATTGATTTCGTATTATTCTACAGTAAAATGAAGTAACTATTCAACATGGATCCTTTTCTCAAAATATCTCAATTTTTACAACTAAACTTTTGTTTCTTTATACATCAACATTGTCATAACTTTCTTCGCGAAGGTGATGATCAAACAAATTCACGGATAACAGCTTGATACACTGGCGGATCAAGGATTTAATTTTTGAGAGGGCTCTCCGCCGGAAAGCTTTTTTTTTCATCTAAGTATCCATAATTACTTTGGGGGGGAAAAAAAGAAAGAAACTAACTACCTATGTGAAATGGTTTTTAAGTGATTCTTGAAGTCAGAGGTGCACATCCCTCGCAAGGTCAATGACGCATAAACTTCTCCCTCCTCCCAAAGAGGTATATGCGTTTTGCTCTTCTCTTCTTAAAATCAGTGCAAGTTAAAGTAGAATTTCAAAAATAGGTCATATACAACAATCACACTTTCAGTGGTTTGTTCTTTCCTTTTCTCTTGTCCCCTGATCTGAAACTTTTCATTTCGAAAAATAATAATCAAATGTAAATGTGCCCTCCTCAAAAATTTTGCTCCATAAAACCCCTTCTGGACACCCCTGCTTGAAGTCCTATTAAATGTAATTACACGAACAATAATACTTTAAGAGATTTTTTTTTTCCATAAAACATGATTATATTTTACTATTTTAGGGAGGAAGGAGGGGAGCTTCAGCCCGAAAGCCTTCACCCATAGATCCGCCTGTTGCTTGATATATATTCCTTTATGACCAAGGGCCTGGATTTGTATGCCAAAATATTTTAAATAATGATCAATTATTTTAAATTGATGATCAAATATATATAAGAATCAGCATACTCAGATGCAATTAGACTTAGTTTGCTCACTTAATGAAAAGTTGAGGAATAAAAAAAGTTATTTTTCGATGGCTATGAAAATTCTTATTTGATGATTTTTCCAGGAGCGATATACCAATCTCAATTTGGTTTCTCCTTAAAAATATATTTGAAACCAATTTTTTCCTTCGGTCGGTACAAATTGTTTCATTTCAACGGTGCACTTATACTGTAGCTATATTTCAAACATAAATTGGTCACAATAGAGGTTTTATAAAAAAATATAAAATGAAAAAAATGTAAAATAATAATCAATAAAAATATTTTACCGGACATGATTCTTTTCAATTCTGGTAACTTTTTTTTTATATCACTTGTTCAAATGATAATCTTGATTACTTCTATAAATGTAAAGTTTTTGATTATTCGATAAACCAAAATAATGGTTATGATCATAATTATGAGACGACTTTAGTCAAGTTTCATTAGAATCGTTATAGATGTTTCAACATTACAATCTACTGCAACACAGGTTTTTTTGAAAGGCCGCACACTGAGGTGAGCGTAAGGTTTCTTGGACATCGGCTCTATCTTACTTGGAAATTGTAGTATATTGCTCAAATTTTGTCTGTTTATGTTTTTGAGGGTATTGAATTTGAACTCAAGCCATTTAGTCAACCTAATGCACTAAACGTTTAATGAATTGCTCAATCCGCTTTATCTTCGGGATCTCAAGGGATACGCATATTACCCAGTTCTACACCAAGTTGAAGTGGCTCTATCCGTCCTACCGCCGTCAATATTTTCTGGCTACCTTCCTATACCGAGCCATTACAACACGGCGACCTGCCTATATTCTACAGATCCTACAATTGAAAAGCTCCTTTCAATCCCGTCCCACCAGATCCCGTGCGTCCGACCTCTATCATCCCCCTCACCGAACTGCTCCATTTGATATATCCTTTATATTAATACAAGTTGTCCCCCTCTGGAACTCTATACCTTCAGATATTCGACACCCCAAATCAATATCCTCTTTCAAATCTCTCCTCTTCAAACACCTACTCCATCCCCAATCAGATTGATCAAGAAATGCACTTAAAAACCTAATCTGTAAAAACCTCAAAGTACACCCAGATACTCTGATTATTGTGTAATTCATCGATATTTCGTTCACTTAATTAATTTCTTTGTATATTTTATATTTACATGTATTTACATCTTTTCATCATTTATAACTTTATTGTACTCTGAATCAACCTGTAAATATTAAATAGTATTTCATGGACACCAAAATATTGATATATATTCTGTATTTGTGACTTGTTCTAAAGGGACACTAGTCCCAGAATAATAAAATTATTTTCATTCAAAAAACAAATTTATAAAATATTTATTTTATTTTTTCAGTTTAAAAGTTATGTAAGCACATTTGATATATTACTTTTGTACCACTTCTAGTGTAAATAATTATAGATCAAATAAAATAATATATACATAATAAAATACATTACTTACTAGTTAATTATTAAGTTATTTTTTATTACAATCTCTAATCTCCAAAATGTTTGCCCAACAGTGTTAACTTGAATTATCAAATTTAATTTTAATAAGAATTTCTCAAAATTTAAAACATAATTTTTTTTTCGATTACCCCCTATCTTGCCATTTCTGGCCTCCTGAAGGATTGTTCTAAAGGTACAACCAAACCTGTTCTAACAAGTGGAAAGGTTGAGATTAAAACATGAAATGTTGGGATTGTCATAGGGCTCGGGGTTGCTGAGCCTGGTGGAAGATAATTTGGATAAAATAATTTCGAGTTTGGCTCCTGGTGCTATGGGAGGGGGAGGCTTTTAATTAACACTGGCCTTAATCCTCTGCCCTCATCCCCTGGCCTGAGAAAACCCCATATTGCCTAAAAGGCCAGGAAGAGGAGGACAGGAAAAAAAAATATTGGGATTGTCATAATAACAAGAATGCGTAAAATTATCGATTTAATTTTTGTTTCATTTAATTCAGAATAAGACAATACCTCAAGAATGACCCCTATTTGAGGTTTGAATTCGGAAGTATAAGGTAGGCAAAGTTTTTTTTCTCCAAAACTAAGATGTTTTACACCATAGTGAGCTGGGTGGTGTTAGTCAAAGCAGCAGGCACTGCCTAAGTCATTACTAAATGTGTAATTAAATACATTTACTTAGGTGATTAAATACAAATTGCATAATTTTTTATGTTTATTTTTATTTTTCATTATTCATCTCAGAGATTAAAATTACGATAAAAATAGGGGATGAATTGTAAAAATAGTCACTTTCCAACTATGAAAAAATTCACATCATCCTGGTGATCTGGATAATATCCTCATTTTTATAGGTTGTCTACTTCAATTTGCAATAAATGTATTTATAAGGTAAGCAATAGAGTCAGGTAAATGATAAAAGTATGTGAAATTATTTAACTAAAGTGAAATGATATCCCAGATGACAAATAATAAGGTTTTTCAATAGATTTATTATCATTACTTGATATAGTTAATATATTTATTATGGTTTAAACTAAGCTTGTGAGTCATTATCAAGGCTATGGTTCTAGATGATTTAGCATAAGAATTGTGGGATAGATTGAAATGATTTTATTATTTGCATGTATTCATAGTAAAAAAAATTTGGTTATATATGTTCTTAGTCAACTCACCTTAGTGAGGCTGGACCCTGTGGATTGTGACCACAATATTCCCTTTTGACAACAGGCCTGAAGAAGTATAACCCTGGTTTGTCCCTAATCATTGGTCCTCCATGGCATGGCCACCTAGATCTGTGGCCCTCATCATTCCACTGGTGATAACTATAAACATAGCATTAAATCAACTGATATTTCTTTCACATATCATTCTGGAAATGGCACAACAAATTCTAACAAAACTAACGATCCTTTGAGTGCCTGCTAACTCTGTCTTACAGTAATTTACTGTTTCAGTGCTGTTATTTCTTTAGAAGAGGCAGATTTTATAAAGATATTTGATTATAAGTCTTTTATTCTGTTATTTTTATACCTCTTTTTAAATCTACAGGATGAATTTAATGGATCAGTTTATTGCTATGATGATACTGAGACAATAACTCTACAAAAAGCTCTCATGACAACCAAGAAAGTACCATTTAACAGTTATAAAATGGCTTCTCTAAGTTGTATGGCCGATAAATCGTTTGAAGTTATAAAACCAATTTTACATTATAAAGAGTATGTTGACTCAGTATATTGGCTACCTTGGTACTGTGCCAGGGAAATGGAGGTTCAGTGGGTATATCTTACCTTATTATTAAATTTAACCTACACATAAGAGAACAAAACATATTCTGCTTTAAAATAGCCTATTTTATTTTATTGTAAATAGTATTGTTTTTTTTCATAGTTTTTATTTTTTACCCATAAATGTAACATGTTTTATTTGTAACATATTGTTTATATATAAAAATGTATTGTTCAAGAGTACAGACCAACAGCAATTGTAAACTTGTAGTTGGAAAATATAAAAAATAAATTATATGTATAAAAAAAAATATTAATCTACAATATTTAATTGTATACATATATATTATATAGTATACATATATATACATATTATACATAGATATACATATATATACATACATATTATATACATACATATATATTACATCTATTTACTCTTATTTAGTTTTAGTTATTAATCTACAAATATTTCCATTTTCTAGTTTACCAGAAGGTGTAGAAATTAGACCACTCAGCCCCGAGCATGCAGATCAGATAAATGAAATATGGCCCCACAGATACCCTGGCTCTAGGGACTTAATCGCTGAAATAATAACACTTAATTTTGGACTTGGTTTGTTCCGTGGGTCATCTTTGTTATCATGTGCAATTCATTGGTATTATGGTGGTCTTGGTGTCGTAAGTGCACTATTATTTTCCCACTATTCTTTATTTTAAATAAATCTACTTTTTATAAGTTATGTTTATTTATGGTGAGTTTCACATATAATCCTTAATTTTTGAAATACTTTCTCTTCTGTAATTTATTTGAATTTTTCATAAAGAACAAAACCATGATGCCATAAATCATATTTCAATTTCTAGTCTTCTTGGTTTCTTTACATGTGTATATATACAATAATAAGTTTATTATTTAAATGAATTTACAATTTACAAAGTGTACATAAAAATTGGTCATGTCACATTTCACACTAAAAATAATCTTAAAATTATAAACTTTTCTAACATTCTTTGTTATTTGACTTTAGGAAAAATGATAAAAAAACCTACATAAAAAAATAAATAAGTTAAATAATAATAATGTAAATAAAATTAGTATATAAATAAAGTCAACAATAATAATAGAATAAAAACTATATACAGTTAAATAAAAAATATAGTTTCTGTTACTTATGTTAAGTAATGTAATTTTTTGTGCAGTTTTATTTTGGTCAGCTTTTATTCAAGTCAAATATGTTTTTTACATCTGTGTTTATATCTTCTTAAACTTTGCTTATTGTAATGGCCTATTGTTTTAATTCAGGGGCTTACTGAAGTGTTTGTTAAGTTGAAAAAATTCTCGGTCTGGGAGTATATGAATTTTTTAATTGTCTGAAATTCCAAATCATTTGACATATTGGTTATTCTTGTGTATCTGGGATAATCCTTTATGATTCTCATACACAGATTTTGTACTCTGTCTAATTTTTTATTGTCTGAGTCACATGTGACTTACTGGAAAAGCATATGTTATTAAAGGACATATAACCGATTTATATAAAATAATTTTGTTTTTTATTGCAAGAGAAGATTTTCTTCGAAAGTAGGGAGCCATTGTACTGTTTTTCAGCTTTGCTGCATTTGTTGTTGATATGAGATATGAATGTTAATTTGTTATCTAATTAGAGTCCATGGTAGGAACGGATTGAGCCCAAGGGATTCAAGTTTTGTTGAGAGTAATATGGTTTGCTATGGTTGGCCTTCGTTTGGTGAACATTATTGCTGCTGTTTGGCGTTCGTTTATTTTTATTTTCTATTTCTTGTAGTAGTTCGTAAGTCTTCTAAATAAAGATTTAAGTCTGTTCTCTATCATGTCTATTCTGTAGGAACTTGTGTAAATGGCCGTGTTCTTTGCATACAAGGATCTTTCAACTGAAGGGAGGTTGGATATGTACAGGTTAAACAGAATAGGCGAAAGACAGGATCTTTGGGGAAGACCAGCTAATGGGAAATGTTTGAATGATTTATAGTTCTTTATTACGGTCTGAAAGGATCTGTTGGAAAGTTATGATTGGTTAGTATGTATGATGTATGGTGGGAATTGATAGGTTATAAGCAAGGTCCAGATTTTTATGCAATTGCATATTTTGTTTGCTTTATTTTTTTAAACCGCTGATCAAATATCTATTCGAATTAGTACACTATGATGCAATTAGTCAAATTTTATTTTGCATATTTGAGGATAAATGCATATAATTGCATATTTTGATTAATTTAATGGAATAAACAAAAAATATATGTATGTAGATGAATATTTATTTATATATACAAATTAAAATGCAATATTGAAGATGCAATTCAAGATTACAATTGTAGGTTTATTTTCAATGAACAAAATCTACCACATTTATAGACCTTCTGCTATACCCTTTAATAATTAATTATCTTTATAGATGTTTTCCAATTCCTGGAAATTCATTTCTCCTTCCTGTCCTACATAAACATCATACTAACTTTCTACTTTAGTTTGTTGCCTGCGTTCTTAGCAAGAGATCATATTTCTGTCTATTTAATATGCTAAAAGTATCTTCATTTTCATCAATGTTGAAATCTTGGATCGAACCCTAAAAAAGCAGGCATGAAATAGTTTAATAATTGATGAAAAGACAGTAGTACTAGTCCAAGTAGGTGAAACTTTAAATGAAAAAAAAATTATTTAAAGAAGAAGTTTCTATAAAAAATTCAGGTCTCGCAATTCTGGATGGTATTAATAAAATTTTAAATGTCAAAGATTCCATTGTTTCCAGCGACATTTGACATCAATCCGGTAATTTTAAGTGGATATAAATTTACCCCTATTGCACCTGTTAGTGTAAAAAGATCATTTTCTAATTATAAAAATATTTTATAAAAGGTTAGGTTTTACAAATGCTTCTGGTAATTTATTTTAATACAGAACATGTCTCCAAAGCAGACTAATTCAAATGTTTTACCTATTTTAATAATATTGCTTGTTTGTTTTAGTGTTACAGGATGGAAGTTGAGAGGAATTGGATTCTGAAGAAACATTTTTACTGTTTGGTTTTTTTTTTTGCTCCCATATAAGATATGCACCGCGGCCTCAAAAAGGCCTATTGTGCGTCGTCTTAAACTCAGTTAAAACAGGCCAGACATCTTTGCGAACCTATTGATTACTTATAGGATCAATCATCTTGTAGTGCTTAGGGTCAGTGATACGATCACATCCAAAGTGAAAGTATCGCAGTTTAGCCAAATTATCACATCTACAAATAACGTGATAGGCCGTTTCATCCTTCAAGCAACATAGCCTGCAGGTGGAGGTCTCATTTATACCCAAATTGTAAAGGTGCTTATTTAATTGATAGTGACCGGTATACAGTCCTGTCACCTGCCTAATGGTATTCCTGTCCATTAGAAGAAGTGAATTACTTCTCTTATGGCAGGTCCCATACTGTTTTTCGTTTACTTTGTTGTTATGGTTGTGTTATCCGAAATCTTTGGTAATTTGAGATGTTGAACTAAAAAAATTCGCTAATAGTTCTGCTTTTTCATTATCAAAGTAGGCAAATTCTTTTGCTATTTTAATGGGTGGCGTACATTGCAATCTCTTAGTGAAAATGTGATGAAATTTCCATAGAGAATATTCACCTGGTTTGTTGACATACATAATGCTGCATTCTATGTCTGTTGGGGATATAATTGTGGAGTTTATTTCTAGTTGCTTATCAATTGTTTGCCGAAAAAATAGGCCAGTTTGCATTTTTAAAATCAACTTTTGGTGCGGTTTTATTTTTGTCAATTTTCATTTTGACCCGAAAAGTCACAGGGTAATGATCCGAGTTTAGACAGGGTAGTGAGACGAGTCATTGAATATTAAGAATATTTTTTATGATAGCCAGATCTATTATACTGGGTTTAAATTGGCTTTGTGTTGGGATATATGAATAATCGGAATCGTAGTCCATTAAACGTGTCGCACCAGAAAGTAATATGATAAGCTGGCTCATCCTCCCCGCCACAGTACCTTCAAAGAGACGACTCCGTGAGCTGGAGTTTGAACGTATGATAATTCAGTTTACAGTGTCCTGTATATGCTGCTGTAATTTTCTTAAGTGAGCTCTTGCTCAGATTATTTAGTAAGTTACTTCTTTTTTGACAGATTCCTTCCGGAAACAGTCTACAGTGGGTCTGTTTTTTCAAGCACCAGTTCTTTTTAGTTTCAATACTATACATCTCCCCGATTCTGTTTGTTATTAGACACTGACTAATTCCACAGATGGGTTCCGGAGCTATAGGTATCATTTGTGAGCCTAGTATAGCTGGTTCATCAGCCATCTCATTGCCATGTATTCCAGAGTGACCCATTAAATGTTTACCTTATTAAGTCTGGATAAGTCATTGAGAATTCTAACACAATCCTCCTCCCAACTAACCCATCAAGCAACATTTTTGAAGCACAGTGAGTTATCGCCAGTATTTCAGATTGGAACACTGTTGGATAATTTCCAAGTGGTATAAATAATAAAATAAGAGTTAGCAATTATTGATATAAATTTTTATGTATATGATTCTTTAACGAATAAAGAAAAGGAAATCCAAAAGTTGTTAAAAACAATTATTTCATTGGTTTTATTCACCATGTAAAGATGGAATATCGAAAGATTCTGGTGTGAATATAGTTTGCGTAAAAGAATAACAGTGAGCCATGCCAGCTAGAAGGTCCTGGCTGTAAGTGTTTAGTGATTTTGATAAATAGATTATGTAAACCATGACGTTGACTGGTTGAGTTTCAGTTAGGTAATTGCAGTGTTGTCCAGGATATTAATGCTTATTTGTTCAAAGTAAGTATCATGTTATAGTACTTGTAAAGTACAATATTATAGTATAATAGATAGATATATTGTGTTGGCAAATAAGTCCTGCCAGTTTTTGTGTTTATTTTTATATCACTATGATACACTTCTTATCTGATGAATTAATCCCTAAGATGGATTGTTTATTCTTTTTGACATATTTGTCAACAACTATATCTATTAATTCTTGTTGGAACTAGCTTAGTATTGTGTTTGCTATTGTACTGTGAATATCATTCATTCAGAAAGAAAATATCATTCATTATCGGCATATTTTGTTGTATTATTTTAAAAAAGGTAAACGTGCTGCGGAAGCTGAAAGGAAAATTTGCAGTGTTTATGGGGATGATGCCTTAACCGAACGCACCTGTCAAAATTGGTTTACCAAATTTCATTCATGAAATTTTGACATCAATGATACTCAACGGTCTGGTCGTCCTCATGAAATTCAAATGAGCAATGTTAAGACCATTATTAATCAAAATCCCACCCAATTACTGAGAGAGATTGCTATGGCCCTAAATCTGTCGCACATAAATGTAGAAAATCATTTTCACAAGCTCGTCTATATTTCCAGGCTTAATGTTTGGGTCCTTCACATGATTTTTTTTTCGAAAATCACAAAAAATGTTATAACTTCAATAAAACTTTAGCTATCTAAAAGGAATTCAGGGCCACATAAACTACACAAAATGACATCAACAGAACCTTCGTAAACAAACTACAAATGGAGACAAAAAATAAAAACCTATTAAGACTTTTTGTTTATTTTTTCCTTATGTAGGCATTAAATCAAAAAACCATTGATACGACTTTGTTTATTAACCAACCTAACTGAAACAAAAAGGAAGACATTGAATCGCTGGAATAAAATAGGTCTCACTGTTCCTTCCAACCTCCTTGCTACGAATGCCTTTTATTTTCACTTCATTTTTTAAACTTGTTACTATCATTTTTTATTCCTATAATCAATACTCATTTATCGTACTGCTTTTCAATTATTTTTTTGAAAGATGAAACTTCTTTTTTCTACTTTGAATCAGATGTTCACTCTCTTTTAAAAATATCAAGTAAGATTTACATCAATATAATATATATAATTTTTTACCACATTTCATTATGTATGTTTAAAAATGTTCCTTCTCCATCAATATTAATACCATTTTGTCACACTCTGCTGGTTGTCCTTACCTTGATCCCTTTATGACCAATACCTTAATATCCTGTCACATTAACTCCCAATCCCTTCCTTACTTTCCTCTACTTTACCTCAATAACCGTCCCATCCATTTTTTCCCTACAGTCAAAAACCTAGGAGTAAGCTTTGACCATAACCTCTCCTGGAATAACAATATCTCCCAGATTACCTGAAAATTCATAACTGCCCTTAAACAACTCCTAATATTCCGTGATTGTATTCCTCTAAAAACCAGACAGCTCCTTGTAACCTCCCTTGTATTCCCCCACTTCGACTACGGCTGCTTGGTGTATGGAGGGCTATCTGCCAGGCTGGAAATGAGACTAAAAAGACTCATGAATTGTTTCATAAGATACATTTTTGGGATCCCCAAGTGTTCACATGTTTCACTATGGTACACCGAGTTGAAGTGGCTTTATCCTACTTCCCGACGACAATTCCTTCTTGGCGTTTTCCTTTTCCAAGTCTTCAGAACCAAAAACCCTCCCTACATCCTGGAACTCCTTACTCTGCACCCCTCTATCCACTCTCTCAATACTAGGTCTCAACCTATAGATTTATATATCCCCTCTTATAAAACTACTACCTTCAGCAAATCCTTCATCATTCGTGCTACCTCCTTTGGAACTCTCTTGGAACTACCTCCATACGTCAATCCTCATCCACAAATTCCTTCAAACAACTCCTGTTCCATCACCTACTCCTCATTCAAGCTTCCGCCAATATGTAAAATTACTTGTATCTGTATACTGTGTTCACAATCAATAAACAATCAGCAGTTAATTAGTTTGTATTTTTTATTATTTTAAGCCAGACTAAGACCCATAAATTTGTAAAACTGTTATTATTCTTAGGGGACTGTAGTCCCAGAGTAAAATTATTTTTTTATTCATTCATTCATATCCTTATAATTGTGTATTATTCATGGTATGTTTATAAACTTATTCATATGTGCCAATAAATTTACAGGAGTGCTAGAAATGTAATGTGCAGAATGAGAGTTGAATTATAATTTGTTGTTTATTTTTTAAAAATGATGTAGATCAGTTTCATCTTATACTTCAGATATTTCCTCTACTACAAAAGTAATTATGTACAAATTTGTTAAAGGATTCGTTATTTAGATACTTCTGAGCAATAACCTGTAAAGAATTTGAAGTTATCATATTTCTTGATAAAAATCATAAAATTTAGAAAGTTCTATCTTGGAATGTATTACTGTTATGAGTTTCATATTAATCTCTAAAATTAGGTAATTTAAAACAGTAAAAAAAGTTAGAAATATATCAATTATCTGACCAATACTTTAAAAGATATTTAGTTGAAAAACACAAAGAAAAAAAATTAGCAGTTTTTTTTTCTAAAAATTGCTGCAGTTCCAGTGGTGAGATTTATTGGAAAATTTGGATATTTCAACATTTCACCAACCTAGACTACATATCGAGAAATCACTTGTAGTAGATAGCCCCCAGTATTTACTCCTTTATGTGACATTGTGTGAGGGAATGAGAAGGAATACATAGGAATGTGAGGTTGCGCTATGAATTGTACTCAATTGTGCATTGGACAAATTGTTCATTGAAAAGTCTCATATTGATAAAGAATCGAAGAAGGAAGACGCTGGAAAAAGGACCGAGCAGGTAGCAGCAGCTGGAGAAGGATGCCAGAGAAGAAAGAAGAACTCACTTGAGGCTGGGATATGAAGGAAGGGGGATACCTCAGAAGAGAAGTCTACTACACTGAAGATAAAGAAGATCAAGCCTATAGTTATAACACTTTAATAGAGTCAATCTATTACAGTTGTGGAAATAAATTATTTTGTTATACAGGAGTGATTTATTTATTTAGTTGTCCTATATGCCTAACAATTGAAGAATAGCAAACCAGGTGAGTCAATTCATTCAAAGTGTGTTTACTGAGTCCCTCATTTCAGATATGTATATTCTTATTATTTCTTGTCACTCAGTGTCACAAAAAGCATTAGACCCTCAAAAAGTCTATATCCAGTGCTGTGGTTTTGTTTTAAGAAAATTAAATTATGAGTCTAAATAACCTAGTCCCCTGACAAAACGGAAAGGAAGGCTATTTACAATTCCCACCAAAAGAATATTTACAATTAAACCTTTAACAGGTTATTTACACACTAATAATATATTTTTTTTACCATTTAAAGCAATCAGACTGGACTAAAAAATACTCTTAGTAACCTCAACATAATTTTTCATTAAATGCATTGAAAATGAAACACAAATAAAAAAAGATTATTTCTTATTAAATATTAGTAATACACTAATTTTACTATACCATTTACTAATTTTGATTTAAAATCAAAATATTTATAATTATTTGGAATCTAAATGGTCAGGAGATGATTGAACTGTCTGTGGTTCTGTTGGCCAATGTATATAAATTTAAAGGCCAAGGACATATGTTGTGGGAATGGATAGAAAATTTAAATTCGAATTGAAGGAGTGCGTAGATGTATGATGGGCGACATGGTTCGTTAGTCTGGTAGAGGAAGAATGCCAGGAAAAAACAGTAGGAGATGGAAGTGTCTTCATGAATCCAGAATTGGAATTAAACAAACAGTTTTTAAAAAAATAATGTTTTTACCTGAATAATGATAAGATTGAGAATGTTTGTTATTGTATTTTTGTAATAAAAAGTTCTTTTTTAATTTAAAGAAAAAATAAGATGAAAAGAATCAATAGAAGAATCGTTCATAAAAATCAACTCGCCAGAATGATGAATCAGTTCAGTTAAAAGAATCAAATTTCCTTTTGATCAAATTCTAGTTTTCTGACGACCTTCTTTACTACTTGATTAGTTCATTCCTTGTTGCATTCTTTAAACACAAGCACCCAAACCTGTATTTTCCTTCTCATAGGACTGCTTCCTTTAAAAAATTCTCTATTATGCATGCTACCTTTTATTGGAATTCCTTATTCGCCTCCATACATAAAATTATTTCTCCATTCTCCTCAGCTATCAATCTTCTAAATATATGTAAGAATTAAATATTTGTATTTTAATATTTCCAGCCTTATTTTACTGTTACTTTATAGATATTATTTATATAGCTTACCAGTACAAATATGTAAACATGCTGACATTTATTTATCTATAATTTCATTATTTCATTTGTTTACTTATGCTTGTCTGTTATTTTGATGCTTAAGAACTTTCCTAAATTCACCATAAAGTATGTTAAGCTCAAATATTAATTTCTTCAATGTTATAGGTTCAAACTGTCGATACTGAAAAAAGAAAAGGCTATGGTCGTGCTGTTGTTGAAGCTGCAACAAGAAAATTAGGCATGATGCAAATTGATGTCCATTTGATCATTGTATCTGGGAATAAAGTTGCTGAAGCCTTTTTTAAGTAAGTTATTTAGCAACATTCATGCGTACAATAGGTCTACATGGCCGCAGAGCACTCATGCCGCATTTAAAAAAAAAAAAATCATGCCACTTTATTTTTTGTATGTATTCATATCCAAAACCTATCTAATAGATAATTTATAGGTATCATGCCAGTGATGAGCACAAAGGTCTTTGTTTAATAACCCAAAAAGTTATGAAATTAGAAACAATTGTGGTAATATTTCACTCAAGTTTAAAGAATTAAAAACTGTTAAATTAATCAAAAATCACAATTAGTTTATATATATCACTCTGCATACTAAAAATACTTCTAGCTTATAAAAGTTATTTAGTTATGGTAATTTCTCAAACATTTCTTGTGGACCATTCTGCTGTCGGTTGCATCCTAGACAACTCAGTGAAGGGGAAGCCTTATTAAAAATTTTGGAAAATTTCAGATTTGTATTGTAATTTATTTTACAAATTCCTTGCTGATTAATTAATTGGAATGTGACAGAATAGTTTTAAGCTAATTATGCTGATATAAACCTCATCAATACTTCTCTGTTTTTTCTTCTATATTGTATATCTCCTCGCCAGATGTGACAAAATCATGTCTACTGAAACCTTTTCGATAGTCTCTAACTTTTCTAGTTCATGTTTGGAAAAATTTTAGGTCCTCAATAGTTGTTCTCGGCAGGGCTTGATGAAATGAAAAAAAAAAAAAATTATTTTTAAAATGTTTTGGTTTCACCAGAATTTTCATTGTCGATAGATCTTCTTTTTTTTTTTTTTATCTTGTTCTTCCCTACCTCGCCTTTTAGGCTATACAGGATTTTCCTGGGCCCGGAGAGTAAGGCTTAAAACGCGCACTTGTACTTTTTTTTTAATCTCATAACTTCGGTCATCTGGTTGCCGGCAACTCGCGGTGCTATGCACAGGTGTTAGCCCATTCGGTCACCCCGCTCCCCTGTTGTCATTGCTTTTGGGCCACAAACATATTGTGAGCTCTTTAACCAAGAGGTGTATCACCGGATCTTAAAAATGTTATATCGGGGCTCTCCTCTGCATGGACACTATCAAGATTAGCATTGGTATTCACGCAACTAGCCAAATTAATATGCTGCGCAGAGTTCCCCAAGGCAGCTCTTTGTCATTTTCGCTCTCCAACCTGGACATCAACCATCTCTACCACGGACCTGTGCAATGAAGAATTTTCCAAAAAATTTTAATTTAAACTAAAGAATGACCAAGGTTATGTGGTTCTCACATGTTTTGCGGATGACTAGGCTGTGTTGGAATATGACAAAGGACTAATCAGCAGTGTACAGAGGACTTTTGAGGAAATTCGTTTGGCAATAAATCCTCAGAAAAGTGTGGGTATTGTTTTAAATAAAGGAGTGCTGGAAATAGTGATGCTCTTTCTTGAGAATGGGTGACATTCAAAAATTGAAGAATGGAGATACAATTAAGTTTTTAGAATGTACATTTTTGGGAGAGTTACAGTTCAATGAATATTTAGTGAACAAATTGAATTAAAATCTTAATAAGCTGGTAACCTCTTGCTTACTTAAACCGGAGCAGAAGCTAAACATTGTCAATCTGCAGTTGTTCCCGGATCTTACTTATCCTCTCTAAACTGCACCCCTCACAAAGCTCCATACTCCGGCATCGGCATCATGATTCGCAGAAGTTTAAAGGACTACCTTATTATTGGACTACCTGCGAACACCTCTACGGCGACGTTATATATTCCTTGAAGGTACTGAGAATTTGAATTAATCCGTTATCAATGGGGGGCTCCTCAACATTAGTCCATTACTCAGGGTACAAGATACCCCTCATTCAATGTACAAGATGCCCTTTTCCAATCAACTTTCGATTATTCGGATGAAGTTACTGAATGTGCTGAGAGATTAGGGGTTGATCAGGGACATTGGAGTAAGAGAGCTCTACAGCAATTACTATGAAAAAAGCAATTGCTTTCTTGGTCAGATGCCCTGATACTTAATATCAACCTTAAAACTTTATGCAACTCTGTGTGTAGTCCAAGGTGTCAGTGGACAGGTAAGAGAAGTTGCAACAGAGAGACCCAGCAGCAATTGAAACATCAGCACATGTGCTGGGAAAATGTCCCAACAATTCCCTCTTTATAACATGCCATCACCACCAGCTAAACACGAATTGATGAGGCTTTTTGGAGAGAGAGATTACCTCTGTTTTTAGGATGTCTATTGCATTGACACAGATGGATCCACACGATATGCTGGCATCGTAGCCTTCCCTAAGACAGAAAAGTCTTCGATCATTCTGGATCCTCCTGTGAGATACGAAACCAATGACCTGGATTAGGTAGATGAAGTGGAAAGGGAAATATAAAATAAATGCTTCCCTTTTCTTAAAAAAAATTCTGCTAAAGTTTCGTTGTGAGAAAGTTGAACATGAGAGGCCTGTGGTTCAGAGCTCCATGGAGGGCCCTGGTATTGATATAAAAGGCATAGCAAGTTTGGCAGAAAACGTAGTCCAAGAATGTTTTCTTTGTTTCTTGAATCTTTTGCACTTGAAGGCAATATGTCTTGGATCCTCCATGCATTGTCATGTTGGACAGTAACTGCTCTTGGCTATATCCATTAGATATTGATATTTGTTAGTTTTACCACAATTTATCCTAAGCCTTGTCAGCTTTACTAAGCTTAAGCGGTCAAAATGAAATTTATGAGTCACAAACCATGGTTTGAACCAGTGCTATCTTCTGTTTAACTGTATTATTATGATCCTTAAAGAGGCACATTCCCAGTCGTAGAGATGCTGCCAGTCTTTCATTATTTTATCCCTCACTATTCTTATCAAATTCAGTAAAGGAACCTTGACATTTATTCGATGTAGTTGATTTTAATTTGCAGTTTTGTCTGCCATTTTATTTCCTGATATTCCTACGTGTCCCGGAACCCACTGGAAAAAGTAATTGTTACTAGCATTGTGTATGTGTGATATGATTTTAAAAGAAATGTGTGTTAGTGCTTTATTTTTATCGATTAATTTTAGGGGTTTACATGCAATTGCTGAGTCTGTCGGAATAACAATTTTTTTTTTATATGTCTTTTCGCTGTATATTATGGCATTAAAATAGCATATAGTTCGCCGCTGAAAATATTGAATTCAACTGGTATTGATAGTGAAAATTTCTGGTTCTTTTGGAGATCATACACAGCTACAGAAGTTCGGTTACTTGTTTTTGATATAAACTTGTAGATAATTAGATTAACACTCCTCCTATTGTATTGTGTCTAGTGCTAATTGTTTTAAGTAAATTGATGGGTAGAAACTTTTCTCTTCTACTTAGCCAGCTAGATTAGAGGAGCTATGAATATTAATTAAAGATTTTGTAATGGGAGTTGTGTATTCCAGACGATCTTCAGAAATGTGTGGTGGTTTGAGAAGAGGCTGTAATTCAATTTAATTTTCTTATACATATTTTTGGTTTATATTGAGTACATTTTCATATATCTGAGAATGTTAGATTTGTGGACATCTCAAATATTTTCCTGAATTATTCACCAAGGAAGGGAACTATGAAAATATAAAATGGTATTTGCGTAATATTTGTCTGAGTTTAATAATTTCTGTCTAATTGACCTAGATATTCTAGAAAACCAACAATTTGATTGAAAAGCTTAATGAATCTTTACTTTTACTCATTCTGTTATTCATGTAAATTGTGGCACATTGTGAAAATATGCCAACCAATTTTTTCCATAGTGCTCATCCCACATATTTTGGCACTTTTTCAAATGCCTCTCAGATACGTGAAAAGCTTCCAAATTTTCACCAGATTTTGTAAGTTACCTAGAAAGTTTTCTGAAAATATACCAACCAGCCTATTTTTATTTTTAGTCTACTGCTGATCATATAATTTTTGGAACTTTCTGACGTTTTTAGTCCTTAGATTTGTGAAAAGCTTGCAAAACATTGTCAGATTTTACTAAATTGTTTACCTAGAAAGTGGTCTAAAACTGTCCCAATCATTCTTTTGCCTGCTACTAATGAAGTAATGTTTGACTGTTTTTAATTTTTTTGAACTCTATGTGGCAAATATTTAATTTTTTCCATAATTTAATTGTTCTTATTTAATTTTCAGATCACTTGGTTTTAGATACGCCTTCACATCGTGGTGGGCTGAGTCTGCTGAATGGAATTAAGAAGGTTAAACAATGGAAGCAGTATTGTCAAGGATTTACATTTTTTAAATATTAAAAATACAACTCATTATGAAAATTTAAAAATATATATTATGAGTTAAATATGCATTATTTTAAGTTTATGAATATTATGTGAAGCATTTATAAATAAAAATAATCTTTAATGATTTATGTTTGTCCTACAATTAATACTCCATTTTTTCCTACTTGAGTTATGTGTGCAGTCGAATTTCTCACAAATGGTGAATTTTTTAAACATTTTTTATCTTTGCATCAATAGCTATATCTATAACTTGTTATATAAGCTTCTCACGAAAAAAAAGTATCATACACAAGTTGTAAAACACTAACTTTGATGTCTCATAAATTTCTACTGTTATTTAGAATATGTATATTTGTTTTGAAATATTTTTGTATTATAAGAATTTTAGAGAAATGACTGGTATGATGAAGAATGCAAGACCTACGTAGATGCAAGGAATGAAGCAAGGAGAAGAATGCTTCAACAACTTACCAGATCTGCTGCTCAAGAATTCAAAGAAAAGAGAAAAGAAGCCAAAAAGACATGCCGCCAGAAGAAAAGGTTATCTGACAAGAGAAAATTAGAGGCAATGCAAGAGAGCTTCAATGCACGGGACGGGACTCCAGGAGTTTCTTCAGAGGTGTAAGAGAAGTTAAGGATGAATATAAACCTCGTCTTAATTTTGCTAAAGACAAGGAGGGAAACCTTGTGGTTGGCAAGGAAGCAGTTATTGGCAGATGGGTGGAGAATTTCCGGGAGCTGCTTAACCGGGGTAGAACAGAAAACGCAGAAAGGCTTAATGAAATAGAAGTAGAACTTTACTCCGAGGAACTGGCTGACGACGACGTCTTTTCAAAAGACAAAAGGGAGAGACGATGTACATGAAGAGTTCAAGACATCGTCCTCATCAAGATCGGACTCTAAACATAGGCTAACATGAGTTCCCAGTATGCAGAGATTTCAAGTACCTGGGATCCCTTATGACGGAAGTCAATTATGTAGGAGCTGAGATAGGAGCCAGGACTGCTTCGGGAAGCTGATGTTTTTATGCCATACAGCGACCACTGACGTTTCGAAGACTATCAAGGAATGCCAGATTGACAATCTATATAACATTGATTCGTCCGGTAGTCACATACGGAATCGAGACGTGGGTTATCTCAGCAAAACATCAGAGGGCTCTTGGAGTGTGGGAGCGAAAGATTCTTAGGAGGATTTACGGGCCCGTATGCGAAGAAGGTGTTTGGAGGTCACGATACAATCGGGAGTTGCGACAACTCTACAGGGACACAGATCTCGTAAATGTCATTAAGGCAAGACGAAGAAGATGGTTGGGGCGTGTGGAAAGGATGGCAGCGCAATGAGTACCGAGGGAAATATTGTATGGGCGACCTGGAGAAGCAAGAAGGAGAGGAAGGCTACCACTCTGTTGGCTGGAGGATGTTGAGGCGGATTTGAGACAGCTTGGTGTCAGGCGGTGGAGGGCTGTCGCATTGGACTGAGACCAGTGGCAACGTATTGTTGAGAAGGCCAAGGTCCCATGTGGACTATAATGCCGAGGAGTAAGTAAGTAAGTATTTTAGAAATACCATTATTGTAAAAAAAATAATTTACTCATCTAACTTAAACATTTTATTAAATGGAACCAACCAATCTTCATGTTTCAAGTAAAAGTTAATGGCCTTGAAAACTCTGGAAGCTATTCAAACAAATACATTTCCTTTTTGTCACAACCTAATTTGGTACTCAATTTTATCCACCTCATTTTTTTTTATTTAAGGATGTTTTCTTCATAATTTGAAGTTTCCCTCGACCAAATTCCTCGCTTAGTCGGTTCCTTCACTTCTCATTGTCCATCGCTTCCTCCTCTGTCAGCCCTCTGCCCGCCATACTTTCAGCCATATCATCTCTCCACCACCACCTGAAATGAGGCCTTCTTCTCCTTCTCCTACCCTCGGTCTTCCACTCAAATACTGTTTTGGGAAGTTGTTCGCTATTGATCCTTTTCACATGTCCATACCACTTTAATCTTCTTTCTTCCATTGTCTCGAATATATTATTCCTAACCTCCATTCTTTCTCTAATGTTCTCATTTTTGGTTCTTTGCGCTCTTGAGAATAGCCGACCTCCTCCAAAGTCTTCACAGCTAGAAATCTTTTGCTCTGTGATATTTTAAGTGGTCACATTTCAAAACTATAGAACATTATGCTTTCCACCAGAGCCTTATAAATTAATTTCTTTACCTTTGTATAAATATTTTTGCTCTGAATTTAGCATACCAATCGCTTTCGGTCGTTTGTTACTCTCTTCAATTTCTTTCCTCACTCTTCCATTGCTTCCAAGTGTTGAGCTGAAGTAGCAAAATTGGTATACCCTGAAAAGCTTTGTCAGAACCCAAATAATTACTATTATTATTAATAGATTAAACATAATTAAAATTAACTTTATTGTAGTTTTTTTTTTTTATACTTCGCATTCCATTACCAATATTGTTTTTCTACTTCAATTTTTAATTGAAGATACCTGAATCATGAGATGCTTCCTTTCTGCTTGAAAATAATAAAATCTAAACCTAGTCCTATTCAAAACCATCTCTAACTCATTTTTGCATATTATGTGAATTGGTTTCCTTCTGTTAAAAGTGTGCTGCAAGATAGTAATACTTAAAAAAGAGCTAAAAAATTGTCTTATGCGCAGCCTTAAGTATTTTGTTGAATTTTTAAAATTATATTTTATTTTTTCAATTGTGGTTGAGCTCCCATTTTCAAAACATTCTATTAAAACATCTTAAAATTAGTTTTACTCAATGTTTAGTAGAGTTTTACAGTTTTAAGCTGTAGTAAGTTTTTTGAACTTCACTATTGAATGTCAACATATCTGTGCTACCTCATCTAGGAAAACAAATAATTAACTAAACTAAGAAGGTTTTTTTGCAAATTTTCAAAACTACCCATTTTGAAAGTTCGATAGCTCAGTCCTATAGAATTTAGAAAAACATGTATTCTACAAAAATCTTTTAAAAAATTGAACTGTTGTTTAAGACTGGATTGATTGATTTTGTTCAGGGGTGCCATTCCCCCAAGGCGAATGGCACATGAACTTCCCCCTCCTTCTCAAGAAATTTGATTGCTCCCCTCTTCTTAAAAACAGTCCAAATAGAAGTAGAATTAGAATAATCATAGATCATATAAAAATAAACTTACAGTGGTCTGGTCCACGTTTTTTTTCCCATGTTCCCTGGTTTGAAATTTCCTCCAAATCAAAACCCCACAAACATGTGCAAACTCCAAAAATTCAAATCCCAGTCAAAATGTATTGCATGCAGTTTAGGCCATGAAATCTTCCTGTGGGCACCCCTGATTTTGCTATCTTTATCGCATTAACAGGAAAATATTTTAGGTAAACCAAAAAATGATCGACATTACATTGGTTATTGGAGCACTGTAGTGAACTCACAAGTTTTTCAATGTCGAAAACTTGGATTTTTTAAAATATATTCAACTTAAATTTAATAACATAAAAAAAAAAAAAATTGAGTTACCAAATCTTCTGCAAGGTAACATGTCTAATTGACTGAACTAAAATCGCACTTGTCTCTATAGTTATATCCATAAAGGAAACTTAATGCTTTGGAAAATTTTGTTCATATCTTAAATTACTTATCAGTTATTTTTATTTCTTTAAGACTTCAATTTATAACAATTATAAGAAATGTATATAGCACATACAGAAAATTAAATAATTTTATTTTAAAAATTCTGAGTTATAAAGCGATGAATTTTACTCCAAGTCTCTTTGAATGAGTTTCCTTTTGTCTTCATATATTCAGTTTAATGAATAAATCAATTTAAGAATTCCTGGTTCCTATAAATCATAATTAGATTAATTAGTAAACTAAATTCGTTAATAAACAAAGTAGATTTATATACCTCTTTGAAAATTTCATGATGTCATAAAGTGGATTAACACAGCAGACGACGTTAATTAATACCGCTGAAATAATAATTAATCTCTTTAGTCAGAAAAAAAGGACAACTAAACAAAGTTTTACAAGCCTTAACTAATATTCTTTAACACAACTATAGAAAGCTGGTTGAAGAAATTCTTTCTAACGATTAATAATTTAACTTATTTGTATTTAGAAATTACTCAAACTCTTTATATAAACAATCGCTCTATCAAAGCACATACATTTAACAGCACATTCTCCCAAATTTCAGGCCGTACTATTTCCACCCTGAAACAATTTAACTATCTATTTTATCTTCTTCCATTCAAAACCTGTCAACTCCTGGTTTTATCTCTTATTTTTCCACGCTTCGACTATGGCTGTATATACAAAAATAAGAATATTATAAGGCTTAAGTGTTATCTTTTAGATCTGCCCCCACCACTCGCCGTAACGTGAGAAAATTTAAACCTTCCCTATCTTCCCTGGCACAACCAACGGCCATTACATATATTCATCCCCAGAGACTCCAGAGTTTCTACCAGAATTTTTCCTCGCTGGTTCACATGTTTGTGCTGTGACGATCTTTTTTTGTAAAGTCGTGAGCCATACAAAAATTCTCGTGCTCATTAAAATCACCGGTTATGATAATGCAGCTATGTGGTTAGTTAGACATTATACGAGTCATGACATTATGAAGTTCATCCATGCTAGAAACAATATCATTATTTGGAGGGAGGTAGATATTTCCCAATGTTAAAAATATGTTATTTAATTTTAGATTTAAAAAAAAAACTAAAGTAAGGTATATAGTGGATATAAGGTGTATAGTGGATTCTCGGGAGAACTTGAAGCTATATTTAAATGTCTAATAAATTGCTCAATACGCTTTATCTTCGGGATCTCAAGGGATACGCATATTATCCAGTTTTACACCTAGGTGGCTTTATTCGTCCTACCGCCGTCAGTATTTGCCTTCCTATCCCAGGCTATTAGAACTCAGCGACTCACCTATATTCTACAGATCCTACAATTCAAATGCGCCTTTCAATTCCATCCCACCAGATCCCGTACGCCCGACCTCTATCCTCCTCCTCACCGAACTGCTGCGTTTGAAAAATCCTTTTTAATTCAAACTGTCTCCCTCTGGAATTCTATCCCCTCTAATATTTGACATGCAAAGTCCGTATCCTCTTTCAAATCTCTTCTCTTGAAACAATTGCTCCATTCCCAATCCGGTTGATCATGGAATGCACTTAAAAATCTATGTCGTAGGAATCTCAAAGTAACCCCCAGACATTTTGATTATTTTGCGATTTATTGATATTTTGTTTATTTCTATTTTACTTTATCTGTTTATTTTATATTTATTTACGTTTGTATACCTTTTTATTATTTGTATTTTTATTTTATTACTAATCGTCCTGTAAATATTTAATTTTATTTTATAGGCACTCCAGAATATTAATATATATTCTGTATTTGTAATTTTCATTTCCGATTTAACGTATTACAAATTTTGATTTGAAATGAATCATATTTAAGGTACTTTAGAGGAAGACGTATATGAACATTGGGCATTTAAGCCCTATAAAGTGACAACAACAACAACAATAAGGGGATAAGATCTAAATATTATTAAAGAACACTTAATTATACAACACAGGCCTGGAAGAAATCGGTCATAACGTCAGGCACATAGCACCCGTACTACATCCTAGGGAAAGATATCCGCTTCAATTATTCTTTATAGATTTGGAACCAGCAAAAACGAATAATGAAATATTTCAGGTTCAACGTTTAGTATACTCGACAGTACGATTTGAAGAACCAAGGCAGAAGCCCCTAATAGTACAAAGCACTAAGTATCAAAACTTAGGGCATACGAAGACATATTGCCATCACGAGGCCAGATGTGTTAAATGCGCCGGTTTTCACGCTTCAGGCACTTGCCAGAGGCCAAGAGATGAGCCCGCTACATGTGCTCTTTGTGGTGAAGCCCACCCTGCAAGCTATAGAGGTTGTGAGGTATATAAACATCTTCACAAACAGAGATCACGCAACTTAGCGACGAAAACCCTTGGACCTGCTCAAAAAACTTGTCCTGAGCCACCTGAAATTGAAAATCAGGAAACTTTCCCAGCTTTGACGACTTCACCTTCCATCGCCGTCCAACAACAACCATCCATCTCTACACTTAAGGATTATCCTCAACAGAATTCAAGAAATTCTCAATGGCAGCCTTCCATCATTAAGAAGCAGCCTCAAAGTCTGGCGCCTCAAACCTCCCAATCCAAGCCCAAAAGCTCTAATACTCAACTTTAACAGCCTCGTCAGCCAATCCCTCCCCACCAGCTACCCTTAAGGGTCAAACTCCCGCCAGAGCACCCACACCCAGCTCCACTCGTTCCTACTCCCAAGATGAACCTCCCATCACAAGTCCAACAGAATTTAGATCCTACTCCTCGTACCCCACGTCGGACCCACCCTCCACCCAACAATCCTATTCGCATAGATTACTCATCACAACCTCACGACCTAAATCCACTTCCCAGCCAAACATCATCCGACATCAACTCTATCCTATCATCATTCCTGATAGATCTTCAACAGACTATCAAACCGCTTATAACTCTTCTCACAAGACTCCTTTCCGAAATCCCGTTTAACTTCCGATGAAGACAAAGCTCCTAGCTATCCTCTTATGGAACGCTAACGGATTACAAAACCACCGTGACGAACTAGACATATTTCTCCATGACAATTATATTGACATTGCTCTCCTGACAGAAACTCACTTCACTCAACGGACACAATTCTACATACGTGACTACATCACTTATAGATCTGACCATCCAGACAACACTCCCCACGCTGGCTCTTGCATCCTTACACATAAATCTCTATCGCATTCCCTTATCCCTTCTCCTCCAACTGATGCCATTCAATCAACTTCTGTAATCCTTTCAACTCGTCCTTTCCATCTAACACTTTCAGCTGTATACTGTCCTCCTGGTAATTCCCTCTCTTATAGCCTACTTGATTCCTTATTTCAATCCCTCGGAGCGCGCTTTATTGCTGGAGGAGACTACAATGCTAAACACCAACGATGGGGTTGTCGAACATCCAACTCCCGCGGTAGCATCCTATCACGTGTCTCTTCTTCCAACAGTTATTCAATCCTCTCACCCATGAATCCTACATATTGGCCTACATCTCTGAAAAAACGTACCGATATTCTGGATATATTTATCACCTCCCAGATTTCCTCCTCCCAATCCATGATCAAATCCCTGGATGACCTTTCGTCAGATCATAGTCCAGTTTTGCTTTTACTACATTCGAACTTTGCTCCTAAACCTACACCTCCTAAGCTGATTACAGGACGAGCGGACTGGGACAAATTTCGTGATGATCTGGAAGATAAACTGGACTTAAAAATTCCCCTTAAGACAAAACAACATATTGATAATGCCATAGAAAACCTTACTACAACTATAACAACGAGTATAAATAATAACACATTTGTTAATAATAAAAGCAATAATTTAAGACATATTAACTTGCCACAGCATATTCGAATCTTATTAAGGGATAAACGCAGAGCAAGATCGAAGTGGCACAGGACTAGATATCCTTCAGACAAAACGTACTATACCGAATTGACTAACAAACTAAAATCAGAAATCAGAAAATATAAAACTCAACAATTACTGAACCTAACTGAAAATATTACAACAACTGACAAATCACTATGTACTACAACAAAAAACTTCTGAAGTTTAAAGACTTTAATCACCCACTTCTTACTGAATCCCAAACCTGGTCCAAATCCGACGAAGAAAAAGCCCAGTTATTCGGTCAACATCTGTTCCAAATTTTCAACCCACGTCCTGATATCCTTAATCCAACCCACATCGAATGTATTGAATCAGAACTGGATACTCCTCTCCAAATGTCCCTTCCACCTAAAGCATTTCATCCCACAGAAATATCCAACATCATTCAAAGATTACCCTCCTGCAAAGCTCCTGGACATGACCTAATAACATCCCAGATCTTGAAACTTCTTCCTCGAAAAGCCATCCTATTCCTTACTTTCATATATAATGCTGTACTCCGATCCACATATTTCCCTGATCCTTGGAAAATATCTATTGTCAAAATGATCCACAAACCCAAAAAGCCACCAGAATATCCATTCTCTTACCGTCCCATCTCTCTGTTACCCATCATGGGAAAAATCTTGGAAAAACTAATCTTAAAACGCCTGTACCCAATCCTAGATTCTAATCATATAATCCCAGATCACCAATTTGGATTCCGTTCCTCCCATTCCACTATACAGCAATGCCATCGTGTGGTAGACGTAGTATCCTCTGCATTGGAGCACGGTATGTACTGTACGGGAGCCTTTCTCGATGTTGAACAGGCGTTTGATAGAGTTTGGCACCCGGGACTGCTGTACAAACTCCGAAAATTTCTACCATCTACCTACTTCCTCATTATCCGTTCCTACCTTACTGATAGATACTTTAAAGTAAATCACAACAATGTCTATACATCCCGTTTTTACCAGTCTGCAGGTGTTCCTCAAGGTAGTATCCTAGGTCCTATCCTTTACACAGTTTATACAGCTGACATCCCAACCCATCCCAACACTGTCATCACCACATATGCTGATGACATATGTATCCTATCAGTTAATAACGAACCATCTATTGCATCCCAAACCCTTCAATCCCACAAAACAAACCTTAAATAATGGTGTCAGAACTGGAGAATTAAAATAAATTCCAATAAATCCCATCAAATTACCTTCACCCTTCGTCGTAAACCAATGACTTACTGTCCTTCAGTATCCTTTAACAACACCTCACTTATTCCTGTTGAACAGATCCGTTACCTAGGACTCCATCTGGACAAACGTCTAACTTGGAATCCTCATACCAGACTGAAACGACAAGAAACAGCTCGACGTTTCCGACTACTTCAACACTTACTAGACAAACGCTCTAACCTTCCAATCAATTATAAAAGACTGATTTACATGACTATAATAAGGCCTATTTGGACTTACGGAGTTGAGCTATGGGGCTCCACCAAACCTTCAAATTCCTCTCGCATACAATCCTTACAACCCAAAATCCTTCGTAAAATCCTCAATGCTCCTTACTTTGTTAACAATAAAATTATCCATAATGACCTTAATGTTCCTTATGTATCAGATTTGGCCCAATCCAGATATCTGTCCTTCCATAATAAACTTCATAACCATCCCAACCCTCTTGTCTCTAACCTTGCTTCCTATTCGATTCCTGATAACCCTCCGAGGCGTCTGAAAAGAAGATGGCCACGTGATCTTCTAATATAGACATATTATTAGAGTGCTACCAATGGGTAATTTCTCAACATGTGTTCCATGTCTTTATACCAATGTGCGAATTTACCAGATGTATTTTTTGTATACAGTTGTAAATATCATGTAAATAAATTTAAAAAAAAAAATTATACAACGATACACCGAGTTTAATCAAAATCGTTAGAGCCGTTTTTGAAAAAATTGTAAGGCATATATCTATCTTAAATACGTAATATCAGTTTCGTACGACTTTTCATTTTCGAGGTAGTGTTCACATACACATAGACCATTTTTCGGAGATGGGTCTTTGTCAGGGTATCTCAAAACGTGTATTTCCGTTGAAAACTCAGACTCGAAAATTTTCACGATCGCAATACTTACCCTTACTATATATAACATATATAGGTAAATGTAAGTAAAAAAATAGATTAAATGATTTTGTCCAATATCTATTAAAATTTTTAGAAAATATTTGAAACATTCGAATGAAAACAAAGAAGGGCTTAACCCCTTACATTTTATTTATGTAGCAGTTGATACAGTCCTAGTCGTGCATGATTTTGTCTTCTGTTACCTCGTTCTTGTGTAGCAAACATTTATGCATCATTGAAGTTCTTTCATTCTGAAGAATCACAGAAAATGGTATTTGGGAAGGGGAAGACGAAAATTAGAAAATTGTGCTGAAAACAAATACATACCGATATTTTTACACTTTTCTATAAAACAATTAATGAAAAACAATGTTTCACGTATAGATTTTGAAGTTACTGATCTTTAATGATTTGATATAATTAAATTTGTTTAATCAAATACGCACACGATTGAAAAAGAGACCAATATATTTTTGTTTCCTTTAGGGTGTCCAAAAACTGAAAGTTTTACCCAATATGTCAATTTTTTTTTTATGAACCTACAATTTCATCAGAAAAAAAATTCTATACAACGAATAAAATTTCTGCGTGCCGTTAATTTAAAAAGTCATGTGTAAACGTATTATTGGTGGTGTAATTACATTTAATAGAATTTCAAGAATCACTTAAAAACCATTTCATATAAGTAGTTAGTTTCTTTCTTTTTGTTCCAAAGTAATTATCTTTATATATATATATAACAACTTTTGGGCTGAATTTTTTTAATTTTTATTTAGCATCATATTGTTTATAAACAAAAAAAATTAGGTTAGTAGACATTTAACACTGAGATTCATTTGAAATGCCTTGAACAGTTCAGTTTTGAGGAATTAAGAAAACCACACATGACCCCATATTCCAAAAAAATTACTAAATGACCAAATGACTAAAAAAACTGAAACAAATATGACCACCATTTACGAACCAGTTACTATTAAAAAGCTTAGAATTTATTTTTGAACTATTAAAAATATCCAGGATTGGACCAACAAAATATGATTTTTTTCTGAAGTAGCCAAGTGACCTGTGCTGGACCACTTGACATGGATCAACCAGAAGTTAAAAAAATTTCACAAATCTTGTGAACTATTGTCCTGATAGCGTATTATCCACATAGATTTGCCATGTGACCACTAAATCAGTTTTCACGCTTTAAAACTGCTTATTTAATTTTTTAAAGAATTTATTTTGTTTCAAATAGTACCATAAGAAGCAACATTCCTTTATTTTACTTAAGTAAGGCATAATTAATATCTAAAAACAGAAACTATACCCACATATATCCCCATCCCCATCCCCACATATATTATTACAGTAAGGCTCGAAATCGATTTTGTACCAAATATAAGCTCCTGTCATGCTCAAATACCATGAATGGGGTACCGTTGGATTCAGAATTTCACGGGGGGTTAGCGAATCGTATTCTCCACTTTTGTTTTTCTTTCCAAAATAAATAAAGTCGATACAAACACTTTGCTAGGCTTCAATACTGGTACGGTAGTAGGTCTGTAGATCGATACGGGACAAATTGGATCTTAAAGATTTTGATGCAAGACCCGCATAGTTCCTCCGGAACTATCGGATCCTTCGTTTTTAAGCCCAAAAACGTACTATTTTCGAGATAACGCAAAGCATAGGGTTCGCATCCACACAACCTTACATTAATTGTAGTACTGTCATTGAATACATGTCTCATTTCGTTGACTTGAGTCTCTATGATCGAGAGAGGACGAATTTATATTATTTATCGATGGCCGATTGTTTTTGGCCGGCCATATCATCGTTAATTTTTCACAAAATCTCAAGATTCAGGCAAACAAGTTATGAAAGAAAACAAACTTTATTAGCGAATAACTAAAAAAATACACACTTTTCCTTTGGTTATGCCCATGATTATATAAAAGAATACTAAATTCCCTAAAATATGAAAAAAAAAAATCATCGAAATTGGAGAATTTTTAGCAAGTATACAGCTTACTAAAATTTGTAAACATGTTGGTTCAAAACAAAAATGAAGATTTAAATTAATTTTTGTTTTCTTTGTCGATTATATTAATTGATAAAGTAACAATTGATTTCTTCATCTTTTGATACCTTGCATTATTTTATTGTCTTAGTAATTTGGCATTTGAAAACAATATGCTGTGCGAATTTTTCGCACGGGCCTACTAGTCATATATAATTTATTTTACTTGCTTTAAATTTTAAAAGTATTAAGAAATACAAATTATATTCTTACCAAGCACTAAGGCATTCTCGATAATGAAACCTAATATCCAAATTCTTAAACTGTACAGCAGAATGAGTACATATATAAAGATGATTACCCAGTTTATAGTGATCCATGTACAGATGTAGTCAGCTTTTTCCTATTAAATTAAAAGTATGAGTGTATGTTAATTAGAAAAAAATAGCTTCACTATATTTATTTATTTTTGTGTGACTGATAAACTAAGGTAAAACCATTGGAGTAGTTTTTTGATGCAATTAATCTTTTGAAATCATCCATATAAGAAACCTGAGGATGTTTTAGAAAGTCAATAATATAAATCTTTAAATTATCTTTTTTGTTTATTTATATGTATTTTGAGTGTTATAATTTATCAAGCAGCCAATAGTTATTACAATTATTATTCTCAACTTCTAATTTACTTTTAATTGCCTCATTATTATTTTTTTTTACACTAACGAATAATCATGTTAGAATTTTTAATTCTAATGTAAGAATTTAATCATGAGTGAATATGATAAAAGTAACATCTTAGCTTAAAACATCATACAGATCTACACATAGAAAAAAATTACCAATATTGTACCACTTACTTCAAATAAACGGTCAAATGTCAATTTGATAAATTAGGATAAATCCTAATACGATGTTGTCATCAATAAAGTTGTTAAGTGGAATCAAACATTCAGTTCCAAAAATTTTACATTGAACATGTAAAAAACAAAATTAATCGCTTGGAAAAAAAAAATGTTCTGAAATTATAGACTTTCCCATAAAAAATAATTGATTTTTTTCTATTAGTACCCATTTCATATGTGTATATAATGTTAAATTAAAAAAAAAATGTTTTGGTTTTAGCATCCAAAAATTTTGAGAGAAATAATTAGTAAAAAAATATTATTAATTTTTTTGTAACAGAGATGAGTTTTAAAAACGTATAAAAAATGTTTTATTTACTTAATTAATTAATCAACACAATAAATAAAGTATGTACAATTACAAAATATCAATTGTTTTGAACAGCTATTTGGCAATGTTCATGTTCAGTTAATTTATCAGGAAACACAATTTAAACAATTTTTTCCTTTGTAATTTGCAATTTTCAAAAGCTAATATGCTAATGAATAATTAGTTTTTATGTAGGCTTTCACAGCCATCATAGAAAGCAGTGAATATGCTGTAAATTTTAAGAGAAATTTAACTTGGAAAAATTTAAGAGGAAATCATATTAGTGTCGAAATAGATAGTTTTATCCATATTGATTTTTTAAATTTATTTTTATTCAATTTGCTACAGTGGTGAAATGGGAAAATATATTTGGTAAATAATAATCATATAGAGTTAGTCTAGTATAAGGAAATTTAAATGTCAATACAAAACATGGAATATTGAACATAAATGTATTAAACAATGAGGAGAAATTTGTATTAGTAGTAGTTATTAGGCTGTTTAGTCAAGGAAGGAGTCAGTCTAGTGGAGGAGTCAGAAGCAGAATTTGATGGAGAAGGAAGTAACTGTCTAAAGAGTTGCAAGAACAGAGGAGTACAGTTCACCAGACACCTGAAGGAAAGATAAAAGAGGACTAATGAAAATGGTAAAATCATAATTAATTTAGAATCAATGTCATCCTTCTCAATTTTACATCTCCCACGCATTTTTTAAATTCTGTAATTGCGTTAGAATTATACTTATAAAGTTTTTTAAAGTTCATTTATATTTTTTGATAAAATGTAATTTGAAGAATATTTAAATAAAAAAAGGGTTGGTTCAGATACTCAGGGTATATTATAATAAAAGTAACATTAAATAAAAAAATTAAAAAAAAAATTGAAATATGGTATATTAGATAAAATGTCAGATAAAAAGCAAAGAATTTAAAGATTAGAACAATTGTCACATATACACTAAGCTTTGCAGAGCTTATACAATGGCCCTTGATGTTAACAATAAATATTAAAGAATGTAATGGATAACAAAATTGTAGAGTTAATGCATGTTATCAGACAGCACTGTAGTTGTTATAAACAAAGGCAGATTGGCTTGGGTGAGGTTACCCAGGCAGTAGTAGTCCTTTTTTCCTGATAGAGTGATGACATATGGGGTAGAATAAAAGTTTTTTGTGTATTGTGATATAAAGTTTTCAATATAACCTCATTTGTTTCCTGACATCACATAGTGGCATTCCTTGTGGGGAAATTAAGGATAATGAATGCTGAAGAGTTGAAAACTGCCAAATAGTTGACAAAGCCTTATTTGTTACCTGAAGTAATTTCTTAATATTAAATAGTAGCATCTATTGTGTGTTGGGAAATTAAGGATAATGAGTGCTGAATAGTTGCAAACTGCCAAATTAGAAAGAGCTCAGTAGAGAAATTTATTTACAACTTTAGCTACTTCAGTAGAAAAGAAAATAGCTGAAAATGACCCTGAGATAAAAAAGGAATTTAGAAAACTAGAAGCAAGAGCTAAACATCTATTACAGTCTGAGAAAAAAGTAAGATCTTTGATACTAGTTGATGAAAATATTGATGAAAAAGAACTGGAGGATGAATTTGATGCATCCAAGTTGTCAGGACAAGTGGATAGATATGAAAAATAAATTTGAGGACTTGGTTGAGCATTCAAATAAAACTTGGCATGGAGATGATATTTCAGCAACTATCAGTTCTTCAAGAGAGAAATCACAGAAAGAAAAGGAAGAAATACTTTCATATACCTTGTTTGAGAATGTTGAAATAAAAGTTGAGCACGATGTCAAACTTGAAAATTTAACAGATAAATTTTCTGATGGAGTAAAGTTGGACAAAATAAACATTTACAGTGATATGTTTAGATCAAATGATAAATGCCTACAGATATAAGAAAAAAAACAATATAACTTGGAGTGATGGCGATGGTGGGAGATACAATCAAGAAGTAGAATTGATTCTTGAAGCAGATGTCATAGGACAAAACCTGACAGAAAAGTCAGAACCAATAACTGAAAATTTGATAGCCACAGAAACTAGACTAGGTTGGACAGTTATTGGCTAAACTAAAACACAGACCTGTTCTATGCCAAGACCTACGAGAGGGAGTCCTTTACAGTGTGTTGATTCTAGTGCAAGTGAGCTTCACCATTCAGAGCAAGCTGGAATATCTTGGACTCATTACAATAGTTTACTAAAGGGTCGTCTAGATGGTACTACCAAGAAGACCGGATCAGCACCAGTTAAAACAATAATTCCACGCATTGTATTATCTCCTGGACAGTCTTCCCAGGAGCATGAGAAGATAGTATTAGGTCTGTCGTCAGCCAAAGGTCCCCTTCAGAACCAGATCTTAGTCAGAAAAGTACAAGGAGAGAAGTAAAAGTGACAACATTAATGCTAATTAAAATATATATTACATCTACAATGTCCGCATCACTATATCAATTTATAACCAAGAAGATAAAAACATTCTTAATTTAAAAAAATTATTTTTATAAAATTTTGTTTTGTTCAAAAACTTTTTAATACCTTTGTATAAATAAATAAATAAATAAATAAATAAATAAATAAATAAATATATATATATATATATATATATATATATATATATATATATGTATATATATTCACAACTTTTCTTTAATCGAACTTTGAATATATAATTTAAACATAACCATTTAATTGGGAATAAGGTCACTTATTAACTATTTAATAAACTACTGAATGTTCATTTCCTCTATGTTTATTGATGTTTCGATCCTGATATTTTTCTTTTTATAAGTTAACGATGGGATCCCCTTCATAGTTTTAAAAATAGAGCTTCAATTAGGCCAGGGACACTCCGACAGTCTCAACACCGTCCACTAGTACATATATTAAGCTATTTTTATAACTTTGAAGAGGATCCCATTGTTAACTTATAAAAAGAAAAATACTGGGATCGAAACGTCAATAAACATAGAGGAAATAAACATTCAGTAGTTTATTAAATAATTAATAAGTGACCTAATTCCCAATTAAATGGTTATATATATATATATATATATATATATATATATATATATATATATATATATATATATATATATTTATGTTTATATATTCAGATAGTATTAAAGTATTGCTGAAACTCAACGTAATATAATATATAGATTTATCTAAAATATATAAAATTTGTGATACCCTGCACATTCCACAAAATAAAATTGGTGTATTTATGAACATCACAAGAGCCATGAATAAGGTAAAAAGATGGTACCCTGTATAGGAGTTTGATGAACTTGGTGGTGGAAGTTCACGTCTTGAAACATAACGAAAGTAAGGACCTAAAATTTAGGGGGAAAATTATATTAATTAGCATATGAATTTTAATTAGTATATGAATGAAACATGAATGTTAAATCTGTTTATTTAATTTTTTTTTCTTTCATTTTTGCTATTAGCAAAATGTTTTACATGACTGTTTCCATGTATAACTCTTTAATAATAGATTTTTGGATGTCCAATCATGCTTATGTAGGCTATGTTAATGGCCATTGAAATAAGTATGTTACATAGATTATGAGAGATAAGGATAAAAAAATTTTGATCCTCAAATTTATTTTTTCAACATTTTCTTTCTAATTGGCTTCCCAGTAAGGTCTCCATCTGAATTATTATTGAATAAAATATTTAGTAATGCTCCATATTTTTATTTTTATAGCTCAGTGTGATTGTGATATAATGTTAAAAATTGTTACAACATTTATTGATGTTCAGTTGCCAGCAAACGTTTTCATACACATGTTGATTGATAATAAAGAAATCAGTAAAAAACAATTGTTCTACAATTTTTTTTTATTTACTCATTTAAGTAAAACTTCAATACTACATTTATTAATTTTATCAAAAATATTTGCCTGACAAAGCATGCATATACTTTAAATAAAATTTTTGTGATGAAATAAAAATTTTAATGTAGATATTCAATTAAATCTGGAAATGAGTTTCATGTTCATTTGGATAATAATATAGCAGCTGTTATCAGGTGTAGATAGTATGCAGCTAAGGGTATTATCCTGGTAGTATTTAAATGTTTGTTCTGTACCCATTTTTGCCGCACTAGACTTAACAGTGTATGAAAATAAAACCATAAATAACTGGAAGAATTAGGAAAATAAGCTAGACCTGATACGATTTTAATATTAAAACAATATGGATTTAAAGACAAAATGAATTTATAGAACCTTTCATAAATTTGAGAAATAAGAAAAATAGCTTGTTTTTTACTAAAGAGTAAATGAAAAAACTTAAAAGTTACTCGAGTGCTTTAATATATTCAGATGAGAACAAGTTTAATAATGATAGTGTGGAGGAAAGCTGGAATGGAATTAAAGGATAAATTTTTTTCTGCTTTGTATGAAAGATGGAGGCGGTAATGTTCTTGGTGGGTGGGTATGTCTGCATGTAGGGTTGGGAATTTTTCTTAACAATGAAATTACCAGGAAGTATAAATTTAAAAGGAATGAAGAGGGTGTAAGACAGTGTGATGCCCTAGCATGTCTCCTGTTTCTCTTGGCCCCAGAAAAAGCAGTTCGTGAGTCCCAAATACAAACATCTGGCACAACCTTCAATAGAACTGTTCAGCTCCTCACTTTTGCTGACAATATAGACATTATTGGGTGTTCTCGGCAAGCAGTTGCACAATGATTTCTGGACCTGGAGGCTGCAGCGAGGAAATCTTGAATCAGCGAGGAATTTTAAATCTTATTGATAAAATACTCATTTAATACAATCAAAATAATGTGATATAAACGTTATCATAACATTAAGCCTGTGTGGCTCACTAAGATGATCTAGAAATAAAGAATATATCAATACAATTTGTCTTGATGGTTGAGAAAATTAATTTCTGAAAAATATTTTGGAGAATTAAATGTTCTATATTTTTCAGTCAGTTCACTCCATAGATGAGAGAATTCGGAGAACTAAGTTATTGAATTTTATTTGAGAAATGAATCAGTAAGGGAATGTGGTCTGAGTTCAAATCTGAGATTGTTTGAGCTTTTATAAGTAGGAAGATATTTTTAGTCAGCCAGATATCTAATATGCTGGGGTGCCCATTCCCTTTAAGATGTATGGCACATCTCTTGCCTCCCAATATATTTTGCTTTACTCTTCTTAAAAACAGTGCAAGGAAAAGTAGAATTAAAAAAATCAAAGATTATAAACAATTTAACTTTCTGCAGCCTGTTACATACTTCCCTTTATCTTTTGGCTTGAATCTTTTCATTCTAAAAAATCATAACCATTAATCATTTAGATTTTAGAGTTCGTCGGAAATTACTCGATAATTTCTTCTTCTTGGAGCTTCCTGTTCCTGTTAGGTGCTTTTATATGGCAGGTAATAATTATAACAGAAGGATAGGAGCTTAATTAAAGTATAATTATTTCTAATTCAAAAGCCGCAGGGGAATAATTACATTAACGTTAACAAACAGTGAGAAAAAGTAAAATAAACATTACATAGAGCGGAAAGTATTTTTTTCGCATCCGTAAGTAAAAGATTGAATTTGATAAAAGTGATATCCGGTCCTTTTTTCACTAATCCCTAACTTTCCTTCCAATTTGAATGTAATGAAAGTTAGGGATTAGTGATATATATATATCACTAAGGATTATATATCACTAGGGATTAGTGAAAAAAGGACCGGATATATATATATATATATATATATATATATATATATATATATATATATATATAAGCGTACTTAAAAAGTTTGCACATCTGGAAGCGGTATTGTAACTTGATTAAACTGATATGGGACCATTTAGTTGCCAGGTAATATGCTCATCATATGGATTTGACTTTACACAGACACGGAACCAAATTTGTTCCTTGATGCCCAGAGAGTCAAACTACAATTGAAATTTTCGATTTATAACACAAAAGGTATTTTACCGCACGAATACAAGCTTTCCTAACTTCGATAAAGATGAAGGAAAATTAAATAATGTTTTGATATATTATTTAGATAATGTTATTTACTTATATAATATCTATATAAAATAATGTTATTTAATTATATAACTATTTAGACATGGTTAACCATATTGTAATACCTTATATAGTATTTATAGCTAAAATACTTGCCATATATTTGTCGTTCATTGATGATCTTCAACAAACATAATAAATGGAGGGCCGCTAGACCAGAACTGAGGAACTAAAACATTGACCTACTGTATTAAATATAATTATTGAAATAAATTACTGTATTAAAGTACATTTATATATTTTTCTTCATATAATATAATTTCCTCCCTTGTTTCATTTGATCCGTCCTTAGAATCAACCCTACTCAACTTTGTTCCCCTCTATCCTAGAATAATCATCGCCGGTGACCTCAATACCAATGTCCTTTCTAATTCCAAAGACAAAACCTATCTAGAAAACCTTTTTTTTCCCTCTATCTCTTTATTGTTTCTTTTTATCCTACTCACCACACCCACAAGGCCGACACATGGTTAGATTTCTTCATTATAGACTCCGAACTAAATCTTCTCAACTGCCAGTATCCTTCTTATCGTCTCACAACATGATCCTAATAACATATAATATCCAAACCCCTCTGATTCATCCGAGAACCTTCACTTTCCGTCAGATAGACACTCTCACCCGTGAAAAAATGCTACCTGATCTTGAAACCTTAGACTTGAACGAAATATATTCCTGCTCCTCCATCGACTCCATGGTTGAGATCCTGACTTCCAATCTCCTCAATATCCTTAACACCCATGCTCCCATAAAAACCTCAACCTTTCGCCGCCGGCCTGCACCTTGGATGTGTCAAGAAATTAAGGATCTGCAGAAGAGGCGTGATGCTGCCCGTAGACGCTTTAGACGTACCAGGCTTACAGATGACTATCAAGCGTTTAGGGTGCTCCGCAATTTGACACAAACAAGAATTCGGCGAGCTAAAGCTTCCTACTTCCATGAAGCCCTTTCATCTGCCCCAGATCCCAAATCTAAATGGCTAATCCTTCGCAAACTTTCCCTCTGTGAACCTTCCAGATCCCCTTCCTCACTGGTCTTTTCCGTTTCATCTGACGATTTAAATTCACATTTTATTTCTGCCTCCTCTACCTCTTCTCTTCCCTCCTCTTCCAACTTTGCTCCTGAGCATCATTTAATGATGATGACTTTTATTTCTCCAACATTTCCTCGACTGACTTACTAACCGCAGTAATGAAATTCCACACCAATTCCATAGGACCAGATGGCATTCCTGTCAAATTGATAAAATTATGTCTCCTCGAAATCCTCCCAGTTCTCCTTTTCATCTACAATTTCTCCCTACAGAACTTAATATTCCCTTCCTCTTGGAAAAAAACCATTATACTCCCTTTAAATAAAAAGCCTAATCCATCCTCTCCCGAAGACTTTCGCCCAATCTCAATTCTTTCCAATCTCTCAAAACCCCTAGAAAGATTGGTGCAATCCCAAGTTTCCAATTTCCTCGAAAAGTTCAACCAACTTGATCCTCTCCAATCTGGTTTCCGTCCCGGCTACTCCACACAATCCGCCTTAATCAAAATTACCAATGATGTTCAGACTGCAATAGATAATAAACAATTAACTGTCCTTATACTTCTTGACTTCTCTAAAGCCTTCGATTCCATTAACCATCCCATCCTTTTCAACAAACTAAAATCACTTTCCTTCTCCAATAGCTCCATCTCTTGGTTCCAATCTTTTCTCTCATAACGCACCCAAGCAGTCTCCACTCCTAATCAACCTCTATCTGCCTACCTGCCTTTATCCTCTGGAGTTGCCTAAGGATCTAGCGTATCTCCTCTCCTTTTTAGTTCCTATATTAATGTCCTCCATGACTCAATTCTCCATTGTTCTCACCACCTTTATGCAGACGGTTCTCAAATATACCTATCCTTTTCTCCCCTTGAGCTATTGGTAGCATTTACTAAGATCCAAGCAGACCTAGATCGAATCTGTGCCTGGGCAAACTTAAACGGATTAAGGTTAAATGCTTCAAAAACTCAGGCCATAGTCATTGGTTCCAAGCCCCTCCTTAGATCCTATACCGACTTTTCCATACTAAACCTTGGTGACCATCCAATCTCCTTCTACTTCTCTGTAAAAATTTTAGGACTATTTATTGATCAAACCCTCTCCTGGAGTCACCATATTTCTCACATCTCCCGACGGACATGTGACCTCGAGAACAAAGTTCAACAGGTGGATACTAGCATTTGCAAATAACGTAAATATCGTGGGGTCTTACAAGCTGAAAGAGAGACATTTTCTAGAATAAAAAGCAACGAGACTTGGTCTAATGATTAAATAAGTATATAATGCACGAACCTGAGATAAAGTGTAAGAACCCTATAACCTGAGAAAAAGTGGAATTCTGAAATGACTTCTTTGAACAAGTCTTCAAATTCGCATACCATGGATTCTAAGTTTTTTGTGATAAAGAAGTGGGGACAGAAATTGGAAGAAGAATAGTATCTGCAAACTGCAGCTACTTTGGGTTCAGATAATACATGATCATGAAAGTGTAAAGACCTAGACCATGATCAAGGCTGTGGGTCGAAACAATTTGTTGTTTGAGAGAAAGATTCTTCAGCGAATATTTTGATACGTCATTGTATGTGTACATGATTCTACATACTCTGCTAATTTCAGCATTCCTTCTACAGCGAGCTGAAAATGATCTTAAAACCAGCCACCATATCGGAATAGCGATTCTGAACTATTATCTAGTGTAGTCCCAAATTTAAATAATAAAAATCTGCAGCTCTATTGCAGATATGAAAAAGTATTCAATAAAAAAAATCTTGTTAAATTTATGTTTTTATGAAAAACATTTTTTTGTTCAATAAATATACCATTGTTAAAACAAAAATGAATTTATGAATATATATTTTTTAATTTGGTAGTATAAAGATTTTTGCAATTGGGTATATTTTTTAAAGATCTTAAACTTCAGCAAGAATATCTTAAAAAGAAAAAAATACGGTTCAATGCCTTTGGATACAAAGGAATCGAGTACATGGCACATTACCAATTAAATATGGATTTCAGTTTTAAGACCCGGCCAAAATTATTTAAACTACGATAATTTTTTGAATACTCACCAATTGCACAATGCCTGCCAAAAGCGATCTCAGCCTAGGACTAAAGCAAGGACTGCATGTACCCATTTATTTTTGTTTCGATCATTTACTTTAGTCAATAATATCGATTAATTACATTAAACGCTAGGCTAAAAACTCACAACTTAACCGAAAAGCTTAAAGGTTATCACATGTTTTAACTGGGGCAAATAGGTCAGTGAAAGATAGTATTTTCAATCGGGCAGCTGAAATAAAAATAATTATAGTTTTAACGCAATCCATTTAATTTGTGTTTATTACTGATTATCTACTCCTGTCATCTATCGGATAGTTAGGATCAATGATAAAAAGTATTATGTTTACGGAAGGAAATACAATTCGACCGAAAATTTTATTTCTGAAGCAACATTAATAAAATGCCAAAACAAGAAAGAAATACATGAGGTTAATGGCTTTACGACTTTAGCAGTTTTAACGCTGATTTCATTAAGTTGAAGCTTTATTACACAAATTTATAATTATTCGAAACCTGTTCAATGATAACGATGTTAGAGAATAGAAAAATTATCTTACAGAACTCTAGACGCTGTAAGAGAAGCGCTTTAAGCATTAAAGGACATCGGAACATACCTGGCTCTCATTATCAGAACTGAAAAACGGAAGTTCATATACAAGTATGTGATACACAACCTCCCCTGAAGGTGATGAAACCGAACCTTAATGGAGCAATATAGATTTGAAATAATACAATTCTTCGTATGCTTAGGATATCAGGTGAATCACGTTAATATCAAATAATTAAATTAAACACTAGGTTAAAAACTACGTACAGAACATTATGGAAGAACGGCATTAAGGAAGAAATCCTAAGAAGATCCTTTCAGCCCACCTATTTCGCCGATTTAGAGCGTCGGACTAAGACTTAAGTCCAAGAATATGTCCCCTTCCGGTCTCAAAGGGACGTGCTTTTAAGATTATATGGTGTCGCTTTTTTTTTTTTTTTTCTGTCGTTGGCCGAAGACTTCCGTTGAAATCCTATACTGATTATACGGTGGTACATGCGAGCAAGATACATTCAAAAGAAGGACGATTGACTACCTCAGTAAAACGTGTTATTGTTTCTAAAAAAAAGGCACAAAATCGTTTACGATTGATATATTATGATCAATGCATCACACTTTACGAAAACATATAATAGTTCATTTACCTTGTTACATTTATTTCAATAAGCCTACATTCAAGGCATTCTTTATTATCTAATACTCTACTTTGCATGAATCACATGGTTTACAAGAGATATACGCTATAGGTTGTGCTTCTTCCGGATATCGTGAGCATGACAATCCTGTTTTTTTTTTTCTCTTCCTGTTGTTATTTTAACACAAAGACTGACATGAGTCAGTCGGATCAAACGATTTAGTTACATCTGAAAGACAGTGTTGGGATGTGTAGAATAAATAGGACATAGGGTAATAATATCGGATAGCAATATATAGCTATCATATGAAATAAATCGATAGATAGAAAAGTTTTCCACAACTTGAATAGAAAAATAATGAGAAAATGGGCTTGTGATGGTGTGTGTAACTTCCTTAGCAGATTTCATCCGGACAGCAGTAAATACACTTTTTGGCCACTCAGGATTCAAGAAAGACGGATTCGGCTCCATCTAAACTAATTATATTTGTGTAACTTGCCTAATTGTCTACGGTGGTGAATCACAATGAAAGATTTCTATTCGAATACCATCTTGCTTCCATTGTCTCCAATCTGGAGCCAGTGGGGTGTCTAGGATGAGGCGTGTCTTAGGCGCCAATCAAATTCGCAAAACATTTAAATTAAAAATCCCAATAAACCAGCAATACAACCTATATTTAAATAATCTCTCAGTTCCTGTACCTAGTAAGCTATGGTGAACGAGTGCGAGGGAATTCAGGCAGGGTCATGCTGTAGTTAATCACTGTAGTATGTTATGTATTTACACGCCATACTCTACAAAATGATATTCTTTGAAGCCTTCATGTTGAAAAATGAGATTGGAAGAGCAGAAAAACTGCCAACAGATCAAAATTGTGACAAATATCAAAAATTACTGTTTGACTGATTGAGATGACAGTTAAAACGGATAAAACTTTTTTCGAAAACATCATCGATATGTTTCCCTCCCGGAAGGTCAAATGGTAAATGTGACGGTTTTACGGATTTAGTTTTGTTATTAAGTTGGAAATACATATGTCTTGTTTGATTTATGATTGGTTTCATAAGTGCATATGTTTTTTTTTATATGAAGATAATTTAAGGAGGGATAGAACTCTTGGAGCCGTTTTTGATTGGTACACCCCCACATGAAGCTGTTTAAGCTTAAGTTTAAGAAGTGGTTTAAGCGCATCTAACTTTATATTATTTCAGTTCGGTTTCGGATATGATCATTTTTAACCTATTCGATTCCTAGGTTGTTTCCCGAAGCTGATCCCAGGTCTTTTTGCTTGAAGTTTAGGAAAGCTACGTATATCTGACGTAGTGTGGGTTCCGACAATTTCTAAAGATGTTAATGCTACCTCCTTGGCAGCTCGATCGGAGTTTTCGGTTGTCTACAAGGATCCTTAAGGTCTATTACAATTCTGCTGATCAATTCCAACCGACTAAAAGGTTTGATCGTTTGCCTCCAAGAATCATTTGAACCACAGGCGGATCAATGGGGAGGGGAGAGGGGCTTTCGAGCTGAAACCACCCCTCCCCCCAAAATGTTCCTATGTTTTATGGAAAAAAATATTAAATAATTATCTCTTTATGTATTATTTTTTCGTGTAATTACATTTGATAGGACTTCATGATTAACTCAAACACCATTTCATATATCTAGTTAGTATCTTTCTTTTTTTTTCCAAAGTAATTATCTTTGTATATTTATAAAAAAAAAGTAATCCCTTCCATTTCTAGTCGAGTGTATTATTTAATTATTGAACTATTGTAGTTCGTAATGTTTGTTTTTGTATTAATCAATGGGAAATAAATACCCCATGGAAACAAATGAAATTTCTAGGATTAATGGTAAACTTAAAATATATTGTGTACAGATTTGCCATTCTTGGGCTGTTTGGCAAATATATCCTCGTTATTTTGTTATATTGGGATTGGAGTTCACGCCCTCAGGTGGATCTTCGGTTGATGAGGGTTACGGGCCTCTTTTCCCCCAAAATGGTGAAATATAACCATGTTTTGAGAAAAAAATATTTAAATAAAGTAACATTTTTCTTCTGATTATATTTAATTGGATCTCAAGAATAAATGTGACACCATTTCATATAGGTAGTTAGTTTCTTTCTTTTTCTTCCAAAGTAACTATCACAACATATATATATATATATATATATATATATATATATATATATATATATATAAAACTTCGTGGCCATAGCCACCCTCCCAAAAATTAAATCCTGAGTCCGTTAGTGGTCACGCCAAAAGGCCTAATATGTTTGGAGCCCACATTTTTTCTCATTTTTGTAATCATATTATCTTACGATTCAAGTCGAAAGGTGTTCATATGTTTTTAATATTTCATTAAATAGACAAAGTTTACTAAGCTCCAGATTCAAAAAAGCTCCATTTCCGAGAATTTTATATTTCAATCTAATTTTATACATCGGCAGATAAATATGTGTTAGAGAGATACCTGCACGTAATTCTAATAATAATACATTATAATTACTTAATAATATTTACAAACGAAATCATTTGAAGTTGTTGGGAAAATTTGCTGACTTTTCAATTACGATTCAACTTTCCTCATAGATAGCGATGACAAACATACTCCAACATTGTGATGTAATAAAACCTTGATCCGTTTTACGTACATCCTGAAGTATCTAATAAAACCAGTAATGATTCATTTTGATTATTGAAGTGAAAACTTCTTTTTAGGCGCGTTTTGCACTTTTTTGTGAGATGGAATTAGATGGACTCGTCAGATTTCCGATGTGTTAACGCTCGGTTAAAGTCGACTAATGCGAACCCTTCTTCTCATCCTTCACGATGCGTCACAGCGTTGCCGATTGCAAATCTAGCTAGACAAAAGTCTATAAATAAATTTTGATGAAGAGGAACCTGATTTTACTAATAAGTAGGATATTAACAAGAAAAGAAACGAATAATCCGAGGGAGAAAGTCAATAGAGCAGTTGAAAAAACAATTGATACCTTTTCAACTATTTCATACTTATATGATGAATTGATTTGTTCAGTCTCGGAGTAATGAACAGTACAAGTATGTTGTTATTATTATTTTTTATTACTATTTCACGATGGAGTACGATAAAAAAGGTATTTAATCGTTATTTCTCAATTTTAGGCTATATTAGACACTCATATTCTACGAACGTTAACCAATAAAATCGCGGATCCTTTAGTGAACACCTAGTTAACTTTTCCGAAACATAGAACAATACTTAATAAGTATTATCAAATGTTGTATTAGTAAAATTAATATGTTCTAGTTCGGGTGCTTATGGCAGGCTAGCTTTAGATAGAGGTTTTATTGTTTATACCACTTAACATAACATAATTTATCTTATTAAATTTTAGAAGAAAATTTTTATTTGGAAGAAAAAATCATACATTCTATTTTACAGACCACTACTCCCCAAAAAAAGAACTTTAAATTAGTGTTCTGAATTTGCTGGCAATTGCGGATACAAAATTATGAGAATATCAAACAATTAAAAAGAAATCGCTGATCTCGATGAAATGATGTGATAATCTTTATAGCAATATTATATGTGGATTTTTTTAACGAATTATAAAAAATCTGACTTAGACAAAAAAAAAAAAAAAAAATGGTTTATAAATCATCCGATGACATTTTTTTTCAGTAATAATAGATTAATCCGGATGAGAAAAAAAATCATTATCAATACCATTGTTTCTATGCTTTTGTCCAGACAGATTCCTTATCGGCCACATTATCTATTTATTAGTAAAGAAACTTAACATATTTTCGTTGAAGTGCGTTTTTTACTATCATTTACCTATATATGTAATATATAGTAAGGGGAAATATTACGATCATTTTCATCAAATTTTCGAATGTGGGTTTTCAACGGAAATACAGGTATTGCGGTCCCCTGAGTCCAAATAGCCAACACCCGCAAAATGGTCAGAGTGTATTTTTGAAGTCTATTTCTAAAATGAAAACTTACCAAAATGATAATACGTATTTAAGATATGTCTGAGATATTATAATTTTTTCCTGAAAATCGGCTAACCGGAAGTGATACTTTATATAATCGATTTTACCATTTTCTTGAAATTTTATAATGGCTCAAAAGATTTTAATTAATTACGGTGACATAATGTATGATCTTTAATACCAGGTAGGTCTAGTCTAACGATCAAAATGTCTTCTCATAAACACCTATTAGTAACAGTAATAACAAAAGGCTAAATATAAACTATGAAAGAATTTGATACTTGACTAAAGAAGAAAAATGTTTATTTAAATCGAAAATGACTTCCCAAAATAATAGTTGAATGGTCTACTATTTCAGTCAAATTTTAATTTTAATTAAAATTTAAGGATTTAATTTTATGAAATTAAATCGTTTATTTAATGAAATCGTTTAAAAACTATTTTATTGTACTTGCATGAAAGAAGTGAAATACAAAAATATATTATGGATGTGTATTATAACACATTTTTATAACCTTAAATACATTTACTTCAGTTTGATAACTCTAGGACCGGTATTATACTTTTATAATATAATAATTATCGTAGGTATATATCGTCCATTTATTCCGAAAAATCATTATGCAACATTTTTAAAACTAAATAAGTGAATAATCTGATGAATTTAACATCTGTGAAATCACAACATTATCGACTTACAGCAACTATCCCAACATTAGACCTATTTATCATAGGCAATCAAAATCTCGTAACTTCATTTTAGTAAACTTTACAATAGAAAATAAGAGGTTAATAACTAATAGTAGTACATAATCATGTCTATGTAATCCATAATCATTTATTGGTCAAATATACAGGTGTACTTTATTGATCAGAAACTAAAATTATTTGGTTTACAAAAACAGATGGAGTTACGATGTTTTCATTGCCTATCGTCGATATAATAAATAGGGTTTGTGTTATTTTAATCGTAATAATATGTTCTTTGCTGTAAGGTTTAAGCTTTAGCTCCGTTAAGAAGGCACTTCAAAAATTTTATATTATTCCAACATTGCTAGAAAATAATTTCTATTTAAAGTAGAGCCGTAAGCGAAAATTGTGTAATGCGCGCACCAGATTTGTATTTATTGGAAAAATATTGCGATGTCAGTGCCTTTAAAAATAAGTCTAACAGTCTAGAGGGAACCCCCGACAAACGTAAGAGGTGATTAATGGTAACGGAATGAATGTAACCGTAAAAAATGAGATGATTCATCCCGATGTTTTCTGTAATAATTTTGAGCATATGACTCACAGACTGATAACTTCTAAAGATAACATGTCCTTCCAGGTAAATCGGCCTTATCTTAAAAAACAAGTGCAGAAAACACTTACGATAAGGAAAAAGGCAGCGATATCAAATGATAACGCTTCAAATGAGACGGAACCTGCAATTACTCATTAGTATAGCGTCGTGTTCCTTACTAGAACGTTTATATTTCGTCAAGAGAGTGCAACTTGGATGTTACATTGTGTTGTTGTTAGTGAATTATTGCGTATAAATAACCATAGTTATAATTAAATATGTCTAGAGGGCAACTGAGACTGGATATTGAAGAAATGAGATATAACCCAGTCAGTGTTTACGAGAATAACCCTATGTTAACTGCTCTGACTACTCCTGATTTTCTGAAAGAAGTAAACTTCCACGAAAGGATTGCCACGTTTGGAAAAAATATCCAATCAGACGATTGGTCTGAACATGCGGTTAAGAGGAACGACATTTTGGCAAGCCCAGACATATCAATGCCTTACATTTCGAATGGTTACTTAGCCGATCCATACATGTCTTCTTCAGTGGAGTATGAGCTTCCTACAGAACTGGAAGACCTAGGGACGCTTGTGAAGAAAGAACCCTCTTCGGAACCTACTTCCGACAAGGAACTAACCGATAAGGAATACGAAGAAAAACTGAAATTAGAGAGGCGAAGAATGAAAAACAGAGAAGCTGCCCACAGGTGCAGGAGAAAAAAGATGGAGAAGATTTCCCAACTAGAAGGACAAGTTAAATCACTGCAGTCAGAGAACTCGAGGATAATGGACAACATTAAGAGATTGGAAGAGGAAGCAGCTTACTTGAGGGCTTTATGTCGCCAGAGGAGGTGTCCACAATGTGATCCTATAATGGATCAGTAGTCTATAAGTGACCTATGTGATCTAATAACATTACTTAAAAGCAAAATATGAATGCTCAACAACACAAGAGTAAGTAGTTAACAAATAGATTTATACACTTCTCTATCATCAAAGTGATATTTTATATAAACTTAGATCTGAATTTGGAATATTCACTGCACGACAAATTTTTGGATTGCATTATGGGATAACAGAAAAATAATGGTTCAACATTATTATTTAAAGTTTAATTTTGTCTAAAATTATTTATTGGATGTATATTAAAGTAAATCATAAATAGACCTCATGATATTAATGTAAATAAAATAAATTATACACCAGTAAGCCTAAATTAATTAGGTAAATGAGACTAAGATAGCTAGCTTATTTTAAATGTAAATAGTTATAATTAAGTAATAAATTATGACGTTTTGTATGTATTGTATATATATATATAACTGTATATAAATGTATTGTGTAATTTTTTTAAAAATTTTTATAAAAAATACCAAAAAAATTATGAAGTACAAATAAAAATGTCTTCTCAATTTTTTTGTTTTATACGATTTTTTATTTGTGAAATAAATTTATGTTTTTGCAAATGAAGTGTTTTTCTTTTTTTGTTTTTATTTTACATCGCTGTTTGATTTAAAAAAAAATGTATTACATTATTAAAAAATTAGATTTTTGGACCTCCGAGGAAAACTGCGTGGTATAAACTTAGCAATAGAGAAACTTCATTCAGTTGAAATTTTTTGACCTGAAAGACCGTTAGACCATTTTTTATAAATAGTAACTTGGAGTTAGTTAAGGGAAACTTCCATAGGCCATCAAATATCGAAATATCTTTTTTTATGTTTTTGGATTGTTTTGATTTTTTCACTTAATAAAATGAGTTTATGCTATGAATGGAAATTCGAAATATATTACTTATAATACTCCTGACTTTCATTGAATAAATGGGGATGAAGCAGTGGCTTGTCCCTCTTGAAAAAAAAAACAAATATACTACTGAAAGTCGATAAAAAATAAAAATGTGTGGTTTAGAATAGAAGTGACAACATAACATCAACAAGGAGAGATTAATAATATGAAATATAAATTATAAATAATAGCTCATTATAAAAAAGATGATTTGCTGAATATTTCCCTCGTTGATACTATACAGGTCCGTTTGTTATCATTTGGTTTTTGAAACTATTTTTTCATTTTCTCCTCTCTAATATGTCGCGTTAAAATACAATTTTGTATAATAGCTCATTACAGAGAGGATGAAATGCTGAATGATTCCCTCGCTTACAGTATGCAGGTCCGATTTTTAGATTTTGAGATATTTTAATCCATATCTTCAATAAATCTCATTATCATTTGGTTTTGGACACTATCTTTTCCATTTCCTTCTCTCTAACATGGTGTTGCGCTGAGATACAATTTTGAATAATAACTCATTAAAAAGAAGATGAAATGCCGTACATGTCCCTCGCTTACAATATACAGGTCCTATGTTTAGTATCTGAAATATTTTATTCCATATGTAAAAAAAAATTCAATTAGCCCACTCTAGCCGACTTTACACGAGCGTTAAAATTTCGGAAATCTGCCGAATCGATCTAATCACTCTCTACAAAAAAGTGCAAAACGCGTCTAATGTAGTTTTCAGTTAAAATTGCTTTGATTTTTGCGTAATTCTTATCTATAAAATGATTATGATTACGCTAATGGTAATTTTTTTTTTGGGTAGGACTGTCTTCTTCTAAGCTAGCATCCATCCATAGCCATAATCCATCTAATAAAACCTACAATTAACTTACCTATAGTAGTAGTATTAACTTATTTATAGTACAACCAGGTGCATAACTAAAAAAAGATGGTGTCAAGGGTTTTTCCTGTGCTCCTTTCTCCTTCTAGAAAAAATAATTATTTTTAATGTTTTTATGTTATCCAATATTTTAACGCATAATATTTTTATAAAGTATGTTAAAAATATCTAACCATTGTGTTCTCCACAATCTTTGCACCCTAATCCATTAGATGATTATGTAATCCAGAAATAATGTATTTGTATGAACTAGATATGTAATTTAAATAACTGAAGGGTCCAGTGGATGAAGCTGATAAGTAACATAATTGAAATGAATTGAAAATAAGAATAAAGAATCATTATTTGTTGTACCATTAGACCAGAGATTTTTCTGTTAAATGGAAAACTGAGATCTCAAAAGTTCTATGCAGATCTCGAGTAATAAATTTAAAAAACAAAATCCTATATGATATATTGATATATTTTGCAAAAAAAAAATTGTTTTGTAATATTAAAAAAAAAAGTCTCCATTCAGAGTTTGGTCCAATTGAATATATTTGCGAATTATTACTTATGCTTTTACCCTTAAATATCTAATTACAACAATTAAATTTAAAAAAAAAATGCCAGGTAAGGTAGGTACAGCTTCATTACCATTTTCATTCGATAAGTAATATAGAAATTCAGAATCTGTAAGTTTTCTTATGAAAATAAAATCTCCGGAAGAAGCCGTTTTCGGAAATACAATAATCCCTCATCATTCGCAGATTTAATGTCCACAAATTTTATTTATCAGGAAATATTAAAATGTGGAAGAGTTCCACACTCGCAAATTGTGAATTTGATGATTCGTTATTGAAAAAAAAAACAGTAGGTACTGAACGTGCATATCGCTACTGTTAGGAAAAAAGGTTGTATGTAAATATACAAATTCCTTCAAACGAATCCTGTACCACCACCTTCTCGACATACAAACTACCGCTAGCATGTAAAATCACTTGTATCTTGTATCTTGTATACTGTAAATTTCAATCTACTGCACAATTGCAATGAAAATAAGCAGTTAATTAGTTTCTATTTTTTATTGTTTTAAGCCAGACTATTACCCATAAATTTTTAACACTGTTATTCTTAGGGGACTGTAGTCCCAGAATAAAATTATTTTTTCATTTCATTTCATAAATATTGATTGTTTTGCAGGAGAGTATGGAAATTAATTAAACTAATGTTTTCACTCATAAAATGAATGTAACAAAAAATCCATTGGAAAGAAACAACTTTTTGTTTTTATGAAGTTAATGATACCAATACTTCCCTTCAGTCAGAACAAAGTTCATTTAAGCTAGAATATAAAAATATAAGTGAAGTTCGCACAACTTTCATATTTAAGGAAGAATTCGAGACCACGACGAGCTGGTTAAACTTCAATAGCTACAAACACCATCACTAATAAGATTTTTTGCTTCCTCACTAAGGAAGGTAGGGAAGCATTGTATTCGTGCGAGAGGTTAAAAAAATGTTTGTGCTCAGAATCGAAAATTTCCACTTGCGTTTTACATTTAAGGCATCAAGGATCTAATTTGGTTCGGTGTCTGTCTCTAGTCAAATCCATGTAGCGGGCATGTCACCTACTACCGTACATCCAATTTTCATGAAATTTTCAGAAATTGTGCGGGTTGGTGTCTAGATGGTCTCATATAATTTTATTAAATTCTAACCAGCACTTCGGCTTACGCACGCGAAAACGCATTTTTGTAGATATGCCTATATTTCAGAAATGGCTCGTTTGATTTGGCTCAAAAGTGGATAAAAGGTAGATATTTGTGAAAAAATAATGTAGGGTCAATTTTATCGAATTCTGTCCGTTCTTTCTCTTATATATACGCAAATGTGTTTTCCTTGATACTTTTATATCTCTAAAACCGTAAGTTCGATTTGGCTCAAATTTTGAGTGAATTTAGGGATTGGGAAATGCAAAATGAAATAGGCATCAATGTCGTCAAATTCTATCTACTACTCCAAAAAAAAAATACTTCCGTTTTCAGATAAGGAAATGTGTTATTTGATATGCCCATAGTTTGAAAACGTGCATTCGATTTGACCCAAACTTGGCGGAAATTTAGAGAACAGTATAGAAATTACTTAGTATCAATTTCATTGAATTCCATTTAATAATTAAAATTAATGTAAATAATTGTTAACAATATAATGGCTGCGAAATGTTGAAGGCACTGGTCAAATGTAGTGGGAGTTAGGTTATTACAATATTCTTATGGGGTTATACAATTTTAGGTTTTATTAAAAAAATTAATTGATACTGTATTGTTTGGACAATTCCAAACGTTACTGGCATGACATTTACTGCCGTTACTTAGATTTCGTGTAATTTTCAATACATTGAAAGTAATTTATACTCTGACTTTGTAAAAAAAAACAACGTCTTATTTGTGATAGTGTTTATTTCTATTGAAGTTCAACCAGTTCGTCTTGGTCTCGATTTCCTCCTTAAATATCGAAGTTATGTGAACTTCACCCATATTTGTATGTTTTCTAGCTTAAAGTGTTTTGTTCTGACAGAAGGAAAGAATTGGTAAGCAATGTTCAAGAAAACGGAACACCTGCGTCTTTAGTCTCAGTAATTTCCTACTTCAATTCACAGAAAGATTGACTGTTTATACAGAATGATTCATTTGATTCGATTACGTAAGTTAATGCATTCTACAAGAATACATAACGCAGGCAATTCTGTTCGTTATAATTTTGAAATAAATGTAAAAAGGTTCCTCCCCATTATTGAATCTCCGACTACATAATATAGAATGATTTTCTATTCTGTACATTTTTTATTGTAAAATAATTCTTTATTAAGATATATTATAATCGGTCACATTCAAGGACAATAGTAATAGTGATAAAGAGCAGCTCATTCACAATATCCACAATAAATACAAATAAATAAACAGCAAAATAATAATCTATACATTTTAAAAATAAAAAATTGAACTATTCGTTACTTATTTTGTTGAAAATTAAAAATTCCATCATATTCCTATTTTTAACGAAAGTGACATTAGCAATTTTGCAATTGAGTTTAACAATCATTAGGATTTAATAGAATTTGGCTCTGAGATAATCCATTATTTTCAAGAACATTAGGAAATCTTATTTCCCAAAAACATAATATTTGGGAATGTTCTTAAATTAATCGATAGACTCAATCGCTCACCGCTGTGCTTATCATGAGATCAGAGCCTCTGTATTGAGAGTTACGACGCTATCGATGGGCTCAGCGCTGAGTTCTACTTGTCATATTTATATCTGTTTTAAAAATTAAAACAATTCAGTAGGTGGATATTTCTTTAAACATTTTTTTATCGTCCATGCCTTTAATGAGCTTTCAGGAATGTTAACATTCCGTTGGAACCTAAACTGAGCATAAATCGCTGTCCTGTACTGAATTTAAACGATTGAGGGAATTAGTGCTGAGTGTAGGAAAGTAATCTTTTTGTTATTAAGTTATGTTAATTTTTTGAATTCTAATTTTTGTAAGCATTATGGTTTAATGTTCCTATTCAGTTT